CCTTGACCTCAAGAGAACGAGCATGGACATCTTGGAGCGCGCATTCTCTTTTGCAGGTTTGTGAGGATGGCACTCAACATGCATAATGCCGAGGTCCATGAACTGGGATGAGGATGAGGAGGACTCCTGGCAGATTCTTTGGGCGTTCTCACAATTCACCTTTAAATGCTTCGGCCATCTTTAGGAGCCTAGATTGCCCAGATGCCCGAAAGCTGCACGTGCGTAGGCCAAATCATTTTTTACTCGACTGCGTGACTCAGCCGAGCCCCTGAGTCCCAGTCGAGACCCCTGAGCCTGTGTATCCTATCCTGCGCATAAAGCAGCGAAAGTCCGCAGGTGAAACTTGAAAAGTTGGCTTCCGTCACTCCCTCCAAACCTCTTCAACGTTGGGAGGTTCCATTGCTGAGGTGAAGAAGGCCTCCCCAGAAGTTGCTGGAAGTAGTCAGAAATGAATAATATAACTCCTACAAGGTCCTACAACGCAAGGTAGCTTTGAGGCTCCATATTCTCAAATGTTGCATCCTTGGGTCTTTTGGTTGAAAGACGTCATGGCAGGAGCTGACCTAGCCCCTCGACCGCAGCCCGGAGCCCAAGGTCTCAGGAAAAAGTGTAAAAAAACTAAAAGGGAAGTGTCATAATTCCTTCTAAATGACCCTTCAGCCCTCATGTCCAGATACTATGATGAGACCTTGAAGGTTTGGTGTTCGACCAGGCTACGTCATGTCCCGAACTTCTGCCCCAAAGCCGATACAATCAAACCTAACCCCTACACCCTGAACCCCGCACGCCAATCCCCAAATGAGGCCCGGAGCGCAACGCACAACTGCTGAGCCAGTGCTGCCGGAGGGCCTCGAATGTGTCAAGGGGGGCTTAGGATGCACAAGGCGAGCTCGGGATCATCTTTGGAGACCTCCCTGCGCAGGCGTTGCCGAGGGCTGCTCCGTGTGCAAACGTGGCGGCCAAAGGGTGCCAATGCCAGTGTGCTCTGAGAGGAAGTGTGAGGTGCAGGGTACCCCGAGAACAACCATGAGGTGCTTTGTAACTTGCAAAGGTTATGACTAAAACTGGCAGAGTCAAGCCTTGGGCAAATGCTGCTGCAAAATTCGAGAGCAAATTTGGCATTTGCAGCCCTTTCCAGTAGTCGGATGCCCAGGGGTCTAGCATGTCCCATGACGGCACGCACGATGAGATTGTAAACCGAAATCTTACAGCCCTCCCCGTGAACCACAAGTAGTTATGTCCTATGTAGGCCCAAAGTCCTAACTTCACATCCTTGGCTGTTGAAGATCCCGGCAAAAAAGTATAAAGAAACATCAGCCCACCTGAAACACCTAGCATCGCCTAGCTGACCTAGCTGTCTTTTGCGGGTGAAGCTCTCGGGTTTAGCAATTCATGGCTTTGTTGCCACGGGATCGGGGCTTACGGACATTCTGGCAGTTCAGGCCTTCCCGGCATAGTCCTAGAGTGAGTCCTTCTGTGGCATTTGTTGATAAAGGCCCTTGGCGATTGAAAGCTTGATATGCTGCTTGAGTTCGAGTTGTATGCGGTCGGGCAGAATTCGCAACTGTTCGGTTCAAGTGTTTTGAGGCAAGTTGTCTGTGGAATTGGGGCTTTTTGATGCCAAAAACAGGGTTTTTCTCGTCGCATCAGTGGCTCTAATTCCGCGCTGTTGAAGTCCGCTTGGGCAAGGTCTAAGGGTTCCTGCTTCTAATCGCTATGAACAAGCAAGAATGCCTTGAGCCCTGACACTCCGAGTCCTAAGCCCCCCCCCCCCCCCACACACACCAAAGTCATGGAGCTCTGCGGCCACGTGGGATGTGCCAATGGGGACCGCTGGGTCGTGCTTAGATTGGGTTCGCCTTTCAACGCGATGACAAAGACGAGCGCTGTTGCCTTTTGAGGGGTTTCGGCGGAGTGAAGAGTGGTTGGGGTTCTTAGGGCGTTTCAAGTAGGGCTGAATTAGGTTCCACAGTATCTATACAGTATCAGTCAGGTATGTGGTGAAAAGTTACCGCTGCCCCCCAGCTGCGCTAAAGCTGCCCTACACAATGTATTCAGCGCTGGGAGCGGTTCAGGAGAAACCTAAGAGCCACGCTGCATGAAACTTTCCTAACCATACCATCATAGTTTGTAGCGTAGAGTGTGTCAAGCAGTTGCATCGCGAAATTAGACTGAAAACACGCACAAGCTGTCAAGCGGACACTTCAATGCTCCACTTTCTCCACCCCTCCAGCCCAACCCCATCCCTCCGAAGCCCAAAGCCAAGCCCTTCCCACAATAGCTTTAAGCAGAAGAGAGCACTTCTTTCCAGAGCCTGCGCCGCCATGATTCGACCAGGCGCCCTTCAAGACGAGTGTACCCAACACCAAGCCATACCTCTCGCCCTACAACGCCGTAAACGCCCTCGAACTATCACAGCCGAAATAATAGAGGGTCAGAAGTTCGGGATTCTGCATGTGGAGTTTAGATTCTGAGGGCGAGTGCAGTACCTCCGGTTCACTTGGCAGCCAGCTGGAAAGCTTCCGGCAATTCATAATAATCGACATCCGTCTCGCCTGAGCTGGAACGTAGACTCTTCCAGTTGGGTGCGCACGACCTTTTCCCTGAATGGATTTCGGTTCTTGGCCCCCAAGATCTGAAAGCCATAAGAAGCCCTCTGGACTCCAGCCTCTGCAGCTTCGGCGCATGGTATCGCATTCATCTATTCATCTGCATGCTTCTGCAGGCACTTCCCTGACAAAGCAAAAGCAAAAGCAGCGGCAGGCGAGCGGGGATCGATGTTCTAGCGCGGAGCGATGCGGAGCGTGTCTAAGTTGTCGGTTGAGGGCTCTTGGGCTTTGGGACAATTTGGGGCCCTTAGGGGGTTCTTGGTTTTGAGACGGTTGTGGCAGGTTGTGGCCTTGCCGCTTCCGCTTCCTTAAGTCTCCTGACACTGCAGGGCCTTGTTCCCCCTGAAGTGCACAGCGCTGACCCCCACACTGCTATGATAGGGAACTTGGGCTGCCTCTCTTCAAGTCTTCGGGTGAGGCGGCTCCCCGGGTGGCACCGGGCAAGAAGGCAGAAGCTGCCAGGCGCCGATGCGCTGCACGTGTTTGCAAGGAATCCAAAAGGAATCCAAAGGAATCCAAAGGAATCCAACCCTCAAAGGGGTTCAGGAGTTCGTGACTTGCAAGGGTCCCGCCCGCCATCCCCGCCCTCACTTGTTGCTGATTTGGACCTGTGGGGTTTCGATCCACTGAAATAGCAAGGGAGCGCAAAACGCTTCACGGTAGCTTCTTTCGCGAGGAAGTCCGAAGAAGTCCTCCAGGACTCCAGTCATGCCCTTCAAGCAGCTCATTCCCCTTCAGCAGACACTGTTGGCAGAGTGTGGTCTATGCCGGCCTGACAATGACAGAGGGAAGGCTCAGCTTAACAACAGGGCAAACTCAACACTAGCAGACAGGAGTGAGCTTGAATGCCACTGACCTTTGGTGGCCTGAGTCTTCCACGAGTCCTGGTGTCTGCACCGAATTCCACCGAATATCTCTGAAGCGCGTCCTCATATATCGCATCCAGCAACCTGACGCAACCTGCGATTCACCGACCGTCCTGAGTCTCTCGTCACATCTCGTCACGCCGCAGGCCGAACTTGGAAGACTTCCTTCAGGCGCATGGGCTCAGACCGGTGACTGTTCGACCGAGCTGGAGAACTTAGGGCTTGTCAAGATCTAATGGTCTTTCGGACTCGTCAAAAACAAACGGCTGCACGAGCGGACGAAGTATGACAATAAGTAGGTGACATTCAGGCCAAACTCTCCATGTTATCTTGAGCCACTGGTGACGGACTGGCTCATGGACTTGGATTCGTAGGGCTTCAGCCCGAAGAAGCATAGCCTTTTTCAGTCTTGACGTTATAAACCTCGAGGCCTAAAATGAGAGTGCTTGTGTCCAGAGTCCAAAACCATGACCCAACCCTGACCAGTCAACACCGGAGGCGGGAGACTATGTTGGAGCGGTAACGCTGTGCCTTTGCACAAACTGGATCAACACTAGTCTTGACATGTTAGGACGGCCACCCAGAACCTTGAGCCCCTGGAGAATGATTTCGGGTCAGAGTCTGGATTCAGGCGGTTTCAGGCTTATTAGGCATCTAGCCAGCAAGTCGAGGCATTCGCGGACACTGCAGAGATCCCGGGTTCAGGGTTTGGAGCCTCAGGGTTTGGAGCCTCAGGGTTGAGGGCTGAGGGTTCTTTGAGATGAGGGCGCATTTGCCATTGGGGCTCAGAATGTCCTGGCACCTCCAAGGCTGGAGTTCGAGCGCAAGGCACGTGAAGATCGGCCCCATCTGCTGATGTGGCTGGCGTACAGCGAACTGGGCCGCAACCCCATCATAGGCTCCCCGAACCCCAACAGACTCCACACCCCCAACTCTGAACTCCAAAGCTCCAAACCTCCAAGCTCAGAAGGGCTTGAAGGGTTTTGGAGTTCAAGGTGTGGGTCGCGCCCTGTGTTAAGAGGTTCAGGGTTTCCGGCGGCTGAACCAGTCATCGAGGGCCAAGAGGCTCAGGGTGTAGTCCATATAGACTGTGTAGACTCTGTATAGACTTGCGGAGGTGTTGGACTTTGCGAAGTTCGACAGTTGCACACACAGGTTGCAATCGATATTGCGAGCCTGCCTGCGGGGTTTCAGGTGTTTGGAATGGTTTAGCATCATTGTGTTCTCCCGGTTTTCCGAGCTGCCTGAATTGAGCTTTGGGGTTAAGGGTTAGATTCTTTTTGAAAGAGCACTACCTCAGCTAACGATGCTGCAGAGGCCTGAGAAGTTCTGCAGCCAGAGCGCTTATAGCACCCCCTTCCTGAAAGCCGAAGCTCTTCTCCGAAACCCGTGCGTGCCATTGTTTCAGAGTGCAGAAAGGTTCGATGCGAATAGATCTGGAGGTGGGCTTCGGGTTTGTGGGTCATGCCAAGGCTATTTCCACAACGGGGACTACAAAAAGGCGATCGACACATACGACGACGCCATGAGGAAAGAGAATGATCCCAATATCCATGTCTACAAGGCATGCGCTTACTATGCCTCTTGGCTTAACCTTGCCGAGTCTCCACTCGGCTGGACAGCGCGCCGGAGGCATAGTCAGCTCGAGCCGTAGATTTTTAGGGCTTCTAGGTCTGAATTTCAAGGTAACTAGAGTAACTAGAGGGCCTGGCTGTTGAAAGACCTGATTTGCCTATCATGCCTAGGACCTGGGCTAGCCACCTAGCCTCGCTTGGGTTTTCGGCGTTGCAGCTTCGTACGCTTTGAAGCTGGCCTCTAAACTTAAAGCCCAAGCCCGAAAAACCCCGAAGCCCATGTCCGTGAAAACCCGACCCCGCAAGTAGCGCAGCTTGTTCGGGGAATGCTTGGGTTGTCGGGGTTGTCGGCTCCGGCCCTGACCATACCCATGGCAAGTTGGGAGCCCGCTTCAGGTTGGTGTAGCGTTTAGCTTCTGGTAGTCTTGTTGCATTACATTTCAACGTGGGGTCATGGAGCAGTTGTCAAAGCCCGATGCCTCCACTCCGAATTTCGGACATACCGGAGCTAGAAGCAAGCCTTCAAGGAGCTGAGGGAGGACGACGCAAGAAGCAAAGACAAGCGAGCTCGACAAACTTGCCACCCCCAGGAGCTTGCCGAAAAGAACAATCAGTATGATAATCGGGCCAGCACAAACGGCAGCAAAGTCCGTGCCCAAGTGCTCTCACAGAGCTGGCCTGAGGGGTCATACGGTCATCCGCATCACCCAGACCATGCGGAAGGAGGTGGAGACCAAGTGCTACAATGCGCATCGGCGTGTGATGAAGCCGAGCTGGTTTCCATCCTCGAATCGTCGAAGCCGAGCTCATGTCCGTTGTGTAGGGTAGCATCCCTTGCCAAGGTAGCTGCAAAAACCCCGACATTTCTAGTAGGATTCTGGGGCCATCACTAAATCGGCGTGCTTCCTTTGCCTGGAAAGATCTGCTCTGACCAGGGTGGGGTACAAAAGCCGGACATATTCATCGAAAGCCATTCCTTGACTCCGAACTTCCACAAACCAAGCCCGTGCCCAGGCGCTCTGCCAGTACCCGGAAGCAGAAGAGGAGGCCAAGCAGGCAGCGTGGGTTTCCTGTACTGTTCAGATTCCTTCTTCCTGGTTCCTTCAGCCTTTGCAGATGTCACGTTTCCAGAACTCAGGGCCAGAGCACGAGCGTCCGAATATGTCCGAATCCAAGAGAAAAGGAACTTGGAGCTTCACATACCCTGCGGCATCGCAGTTTGTTGAATTTGAGCTTAGATAGCTTCAGGGCTTACGGGGGCAAGCGTAAACCCCTCTGCCTATGCTGCGGCCCGCGGCTGTCTGGTGATCCTGAACCCGAAACTTGCCTCAAATCCAACCCTGGTACCGCATCTCCTTCGCCCTCAAATTTCGATGCACAAATCACAAATCCGGGTCTGAGAGGAGGGTTCAAGGTACTTCAAGAGCTGCTCCGCTCGATAATTAGATGGCTATGTTTGGCTTTATAGCAAGCAGAATGCACCTCGACATTGAAGGCTCCTTCACCACCCTCCGTATGCGCCAGGCCCCTGATAGTCCGCTCAAAACCCGGGTGCTGTTCCAGACAGCTCCCTGGCTACAAGGATGTTGAAGCTAGGATCGCCACCTGCAACCAGAAGACTCCAAACCTACTTGCGAGAACCCGGTGCATAAACTTTAAGCGTCATAAATGCGAAAGCTGTTAGTGTGATGTCGTAGCTGGGGGATTTGAGCTTCAGGTCTTGGGTCCAGGTTATGCGACTTGTCTGGCGGCGTTGTTGTTCTTGGCTTCAGGTTTTGCTGTCTGGAAGTCACGAATGGAGCTTAACGGCAGGTTTCAGATTTCACTTTTGGCGTTTGTGTTTGACTTGGGGGGGTTTTGGGGGTTGGGCGCGCCTTGGCAGCAAGTTGTAGGGCTGCGGGCTGCGGTCTCAGCATCTTGAGGCCTCCGGTCAGATTCCCCAACTTCGACAATTGTTCGGCAGATTTCGGCATGGTTGAGTCCTGGTTGAGTCAACGGTGGAGATTTCTTACATCTAAAGGCATCGCCGGCATCGCCTTGCTGTACTCCGGAAAAGATGCAATTTCGTTTTCAACCAATACACGAGTGACACGACTAGTATTCAATATCCCCTGACCGATACAAGGCGCACAAGCGAAACGACGAGAGCGCAATGATGATCCATCATCAGGCGATGAATGTCAAGCAAGCGGAATCCTTCCTCTGCGAAGGTTGTGTGTGGCGGTTGTTTAGATTGGCTTGTAGAGTCCGATTCGGATTCTGTAGAGCTGAGGCGCCTCTAAGCTTCTCTGAGCTTGAGTGCACAAGTGGAGAGTCCAGACAAAGCGGTTTGCCATGACTTAGGCAACTAGATCGTCAGGACCTGACCCCCCCCCACCCCCCTGACAGGCGCTCTCGGACAGCAAGGAAGATCAGCTCTGTCTTGCAGCCATCCAGTACCTCAGGACAAGGGGGGGGAGGGGGGGGGTGTGTGCCGCTATGTGCAGGGCTTCATCGGGCTCAGGGGGTCGCACTCTTTCCCAAACTTGGGCACCTCCCTTCAATGTTTCAAGGCGCAGTGTTTCGTCTGGAAGCGTGAGCCAATCGGTCCAAGTTTGGAAGCCCAAGCAGCATTTCGGGCATTCATAGGGCTCTACTCTGAACTCAGAGTTCTAGGCAACACCCTCTGAGCCCCGAGTGCGGGAAAGCTCTCCGCAGCGCCTCACAGCGTTTCCTGAGCCCGAAGCCCACCCTACTGTAGCTACCATCCGAGCACCCCTCAAATACCCTCAACCTCAAAATGGAGGAGCCACTTCCAGGAGGCGACGGACATCTACAAGCGACACTCTCCAGCCTGAAAGAGCAGACTTCCGTTGAGGGTACCTCCCCTTGGGTGGGCACCTGTATGGGGATAAACATGGATAAACGGTTTTTGGGGCTTAAAAATGGTATGATCTGGCAAACCAAGTTCGGGAGCAGAACTCCACGCTCCACGTCGTCGGGGCACTCGAAGCTGTACAGAATGGCCCAGAAGTCTGAATTTCTGCGCACTCAACACCCGACATTTCTCCGAAGTGGGGATCTGGCGAAGTTTCCTCACGGAACTCAAGATCACGAAGCAGCTTGTATGAATCGCAGAAAGCTATACAGTTCCATACCCTGAACCATGGTCTACCAAAAGCAAAACTCAAACAGCTGTCGTGCTCTTGGGGCGGTCTGTTTTCTGTGTGAGATTGGCGCTGGCAGCCGCGAAAAATCCTATCAGTCCAAACTTCGAGGGAGTCGGTCAGGTTCAGGTCTATCTTTTTGACTCAAATCGATGGCCCTGCGTGAGCTGAACCCAAACTGTCGCGGCCGAGGAATGCTTGTCGAAGACCGGGACGATCTGGCTCTCAACGTCTACATCGCCTTCTGCTATTACAAGCTGGCCACGAGCCACAACAAAGAGCCACGAGCCCCTACTGTAGCACATCCTAAAGCATTCTAAATCTCTGACGTCGTACTTTTCGGATTCAAGAAGAGCCTGCTGTTGACCAAGACCCAAGGCCGAATTCCCCAAACTCAAATCCTCAACGCTCTACGCACACATGCGCCTGCATGTCAAAATGAGGACGTGCAGCTCCTCTCACTTGCTATCACATGCGACACCCCGCAGATTTTGAGGCCTTAGACCAATGTGTAAAAGGTAAACTCTAAGACTTCAAGCCGTTCTTTGGCGGGAGTCAAGGACTACTACGATGTTGCGCTAGAGATCCTGCAGCAGCTCGGAGATTCTTATGGAGAGTTGGGCATTGTGGGCCGTCTCCTCCGCCCCGACAATCTCCCAGAAACCCAGCAGTGTGCTGTGAATGCAGTTCACGACCCTGCAGTGCTCTCAGAGAGTACTGAGCATGCTGACCCTCGGCGCTTCCTCTCCATTGGCCAAGCAGTTCGTGGCACAGGGTCAGGACGTTGGAATTCCAATGATGTATGTGTTTACACTCCTGTGGCTTGAGCCTTGGCACGGAGCCCAAAACCCGAAACCAAGGACTTACATCACGCCACACCCGAACTCCATCATCGCGGTGAATCTCAAAGCCTGCAGCCACTACCAGCTCTACAATGGCAAGGCTGCCACTTCTGAGTACGCGTACCTGTTTCACGGCTACGCCGCTACGCGTTCGAATGTTACTTCGCTCTACAAACGATGTCGAAACTTCCTGCGGCACCCTTTGAGGGACGTGCTTCCTTTTGATCCTCGATTACGCCCGGCGTGAATCAGGCCCCGAAGCCCAACAGAGACCGAAGCCTGGATTAGGCCTGCGGCCCCATAAATTTTCGAGTTGAGTTTCCAGGCCCCTGTGTATCCCGCATGAAGCCGCCACCAACTCTAGACCTGCTGAGCTAAGATTGAGGCTTCTGCCCTAAGCCCTAAGCTCTTCAGTTTGGAATGATTCATCTGCCAATCAGAGGGCCCCGAGGAAGACAAAAACCTCCAAGCATCCCAGCAGCACAAAAAAGCACCGCCTAACGGCGTACGGGCCTCTCTCCTCCAACTCTAGACTCTAGATAGCTCTAACGTCTAAACCTGGAACCCCTCAAAAGCCCCCGCCAAACCCAGAAATGCAGGCCGCCGAAGCAGAGCTCAAGGTTCTGCAGCAGAGCTCCCAGAGCCGGTTGGCAGAAAGGGTTTCAAGGTTTTAAGCTTCCAACCTGCCAACATCTTTCGTCAAATCCCGCCGCAGCTCGCAACCTGGAGAACCCCTTGAGAACCCCAACCCTCAACTCATTAACGCCGTCGTGTGTAAGTTGCGCTTGAGCGCGCCATGCATGCGCGATGTGGTGCCATGCCGGACTACTACACCGCGCCCCAAAATGCGTTCGCGGAGGTCAGGTGCCGACTTTGTTTTTCCCTCCCAGGGATCCACCTTCAGCTCATTTCAGCTCTGTGCAGTCCAGGCGGCAACATCTTCCAAGAGCACGACTTGCTGCAGCACAACCTTGTGGTCTTCAGACTCCCTGGTTCAAACTCAGGGCTTTAGGGCTCTCGGTCAATGTGAGTCTACAGGGGTTGTCAAGTTCGCGGCTCTGTTGAAATAGCCAAGGGGACTCTTCAGTGCAGTGGGCGCTTCGATCTAAGCATCGGGCGGGGAGGTTCGTGTGTCAGGCTCCGAGATCAAAAGCTGCCTGTTTATTGGAGCCGCACCTGAAAGATATGCTAAGGGCATAGGTTTAGACCATAGAATCAGAATCCGTACAACGCTCCACGCAGTTTTGTCTGCATCAGAGGAAATGGGGAAAATGCCATACAGATCTTGCCGCCGCTTCTGGATATCATCCCGGAGGTGGCCGGGTTTAGGGGTTTAGGGATGTTTGAGGGCTCAGGCTATTTAGGCCTCTGCCGTTGAGGACTCAGGGCGTGCGGGGTTTTCAAGGGAAATCCGGTTTAGCGACTTAGTACCTGCAGGCATGTCCGCAAGCTGAGTTGATGATCGAGCACAGGAGCAAACATCACGTGGTTCGAGGCAATCTACACTTCCGGTTTAGAAGAATGGTTTTGGGCCACGGTTTGGGGTACCCAGAACGCCGAGTACTGTTGCTGCTTCACCCTGACCTCGAACCCACAGATCATGCACAACTGGTGGCCCCAAGCCCCGCAGAAGTTCAGGGGGCATGGTTTTAGACCCAGTTGCCCAAGGCATTTCCACGTGTAGTAGGAGTCAAGGCGGCGTGATTGTAACATAGGATGTTGAAGAAGCAGAAGGCGAAACAGTCCCTGTTAGTCTGTTAGTCCTGATGTCAGCGATTTCTGTGCTTTAGTTGCAACTCGCCCCAGATGCCCAATGGTTCTTGAGGCCACTTGCGGTGGTAAGGTCACAGCTACAAGACGTTCATCACGAAGTAGCTGGCCTAGCTAGCATCATAGCACCAAATCTCAGCCAGATTCCTGGGGGGGTTGCCTTGAACGATCGACGCGGCTGAAGCGAATTGCTTATTTCTGCATCCCTGAGCCTGATGAGAACTCACCCGGAACTCCAAATCCAGAACCATAAGCTATGCCCTGAGGCCCGGCTGAACTTAGTGATCTACCACCTGCGGCTTGGTGAGGTGCTCGGTGCCATGGTTTAGAGGAGTTGGGCTTGGGTTTGGATTAGGCCCTGTGGGGTTCGAAGCGCCACAAGTAGGGTAGGGACCGTTGAGCCAACCGCCCCCTCCCAAAATCATCCACCAGGCATCTTGAGAAGCTGCGTTCTGGTTTTTGAAGGCGTAGGAGCTCGTGTCCAGGCCTGTTTTCAACAAGCGCTCAGGTGCGTTGTGAGAAGTAATTACAATATGGGCTGGGGTACGCGTACCTGCCCGAACTTCGTGCGACACAGCCCGAAGTCCAACGGTTCCAACCTCGACTCTGGACTCCAAACTCTGAACTCTGAATCGAAACCGGATCCAATTGTGTAGGCAATGGAAGCCTACAACCTGATCAAGGACTTGGAGCCCTCGATGCCTCGAGAGTTCCGAAGCTGGTGGTGGGAGGGTTCTACGGGAGCGTGTCAGGGTTTTTGAGGGAAATCAGATTGGGCTTTCCAGCTCAGAGTGATGATGTGAATGCGAGCGTGCTTGCCTCACATTGTGGCATGCATTTCAGGGTCTAGGTCTGAGCACCTTGAATTTCCAAATCTCCACATGCCAGTGCCGCCCTCAGAAGGGCGTTGGCACCAGTTGTACTAGACAACTTCGGGGAGCTTATCTGCTCAACTAGACTGCTCACATTTGCTTGTAGTCACGCGCCAGCCCGGAACCCTGTAAGCACAAAACGTTGCTCTGCAAGATCTTGGACTCCTATTTTGTTTCCTATGAACCGCCTCTCCTGGTAAGCCTTGTGAATCGGAGGCTGTGGTCACCGCTTGTGATTTTTGCAGACCTGAGCGTGACTAGAGTCGAAGACAACTAAACACCTTCTCCCCCCCCCCCCACCCCTCATGTCCAATCTCCGGAGATGTCGCTGAGGTACATCCTCAAAGGTGTCGTCTTCGCAGCCCTTGGCCAGGCCTCACTCAGCCAAGCAGATAATGCAAGCAGACGTCCGGAGCCGACCCTAATCGGCCTCAATCCATTGGAGCGGGAGCCCTCCAAGAGCCTTAAGCATCCTTGAAGCATGGACAAATCATGACAAATCTCAAGTGCCGAAACAGGATAGCTGCAGATTGATCTCTTGAGCAATAGGGCCATCTCTTTCAAGAATCGTTCTACAACCCCCCCCCTCCCCCCCCACTCCACCCCAAACCCCGAAAGGGCCGAGGCCCCCAAATATCAGCCCCCAAAGGCGACGAACTCGCAGGAACATCTGAAGCTGGCGCAGTCGTGGCCTGAGTTCGGCCGAGGTTGCGCCTTCAGGAGGAAATTGGGTAAAGGGTTTTTGGGGTGATTGGGACTCCGGGTGTTGCTTTTAAACTCTGTACTGCTCGAATGAGGCTTTTGAGGGATTTGAGGCATGGACCCCGTGGTGGCCTCATGGTTCTTTGTAATTCTTGCGGGCTCCATTACTGAAGCGAGGTCCGTTACATGTCCATTCGAGAGCTGAGGACAGGTACATGGGGTCAAAATGTTGCAGCTGTGGTCGACCCTGTTTGCCAACTTCTAATCGCCCACGCTTGAGCTGAACCTCTTGAGTCTTTGTTGCTTTTCACCTTAGCCCAGAACAACAACACCATGAAGGATGTTGGGAAAAGATCTGTCTCGAACCTTTCCTTGTGGCCCAGACTACCACATTGGCAGTTCAAGTTAAGAGTAAGCTCTGCAGTTCCAGAACCCTTGGAAACCTGCAAGCCTCCTCACCCACTTAATGTTCCCTCATAAGATCAAAGCAGCCCCAAATGAAATAGACATGTATACACACCCTAGCTGGTTTTTTTTTCATACTCTTTCTCATACAGTGGGGGGTTCAAGCGCCTCAGCCCAAACCCGACAATCCGTCAGCGCACCTCGCGTTGCCAAGAATCCTTAACAAAAGTGCCCCAAGAGCTGGCTCCCCTCTTATCGGAGGCAGCTCTTCCAGCTGGTTGGGGCGTCCGCCTCGGAGTGTGACACCATTCCAGGCACCTCTGGGAAGGTCCAGAGTCCAGAGCGTTTGGGATTTGGGAGCGATGGCCTCGGGGCTGAAGGATGCAAGAGTCTAGGGTCTTGTCTTTAAGACTTGCAAGCCCTTTCCCACAAGAAATGCTCGAGAAACCAAACTCTGCCTTTGCAAGACGCCCATGACAGATCTCGGTTGAAAGGGTAGTAGGAGCTGTTCAGGCTTCCAACTGGAGTGCCCTTTATTTGCATGTTGTGTGTGGTAGATTTTGGTAGCTTCCATGCGTCGACCACATCCAGGCCGACAATGCATGGCCTCTTGCTTCTTCCTCCTGCGGCAGTTCGAAGATGTGCCGTGGCCGACTTTTGTGATGTTGACCGGGTCGTGGATGGGCTGAGAATATCAACGGTCGCCAAGTCATAGAACCCAAGCATCCGCGCGTAGCTGGCATCTGGGGACACTTGGTCCTAAAGGCTTTCGTTGGCAATGGCTTCTGGTCGGGCGCATCGGGCCATCCCATATCCAACACATCACGGCTTCTCAACAACTTGAGAAGTGTTCTACGGCAAGAAGCCCGAGCAGTGCCGCCCTGGGATCAAGCACCTGTAGATACACTGAGGTTGATGTATGGACGCTCAGGGTTCCTTTCCCAAACAGCTCCAAAGCGCTGCAAGCCCGCAATCCCGAGACCCAAACTCGACCTTCTGTGGTGCACTCGAAGTGTCAGGGCTTCGCTTTATCTTGAGAACATCAGTCCTGAGCCTCCGAAACTCGAAGCTGCGAGCCGCGCAACTGGCGGTCGAGGAGAATCTCACAGACCAAGCTAAGCCATGTTCTGAATTATGAAATTGTTCTGAGAGGTCCTGGTGTACTTGAAGTCGATCAAAGCCTACTTCAACAACGACGACGACTTCAACTGGAGAGGGGGGGGGGGGAGGGGGAGGGGGTGGAGGGGAATTTTCAACGGGCCTGCCGACTCATCCCTTGTCCTTAGCAAGAGCTTGCAGCCTTCTGGCAAGGCCTTCAGAGACTGATTCTTTCGCATGCCCATTCCTTTCAGGAACTATGGCGTAGCCTGCGCTTCTGCTGGAGATTATCGGGAGGCCCAGACCCCAGACATCGCTCACAGCGCGCAACCCCCAAATATAACACATGAAAGGCCCGACTGAACATTTACGAGACGTCTAGATCCCAACCCGAGCATCATGGATTCTGACACCCTTGAGTGTCCCAAACATAGTGACCCCTTACGACGCCTTACGAGACTACATCAGACTACAGCTTCGATGAGAACCCCTCCGCCTTGAGGCCAAGGAAGCCTTCCTGCAGAACCTGGGCCAAATCTTTCTCTTGGCAGGGAGGGGCAGGGAGGGCACCGGCAGAGCGTGTCCACCTGCGTACTCGTTGTTTAAGGAGCTTAGACTTCAGAGCTTCTTGCTGGTCGTTGCGGTTTATTGGTGGGCTTGGCAACGGGGTCTACAAAGCTTTCCTCGCGCTTGAATTTCTCGAGGGTGTCCACATTCTAGGCCCAGGCCTCCTAGAAGCCTCATATATTGAAGCATGGAACCTTACAGGTTTCGCGGCTTGGTCGCAGGGGACTATATAAGGGTTTGCCCCTGACCTCTGGTTTGCCCCTGACCTCTTTGCCACTTTTGGCCAAAGCAACCGTTTCATTCTCAACGCCGCTAGATCCCTGCGTAAGGATTCAGAACGAGAAATATCGTTCTGAGTTTTGCTTCCTCAGCTGGCTGACGCGCTTCTTGACAGACGGGTAGCAGAGACTCCAGCCTTTGTTCAGCATGTACCTGGTTGTCTTGCTGATTCACCTGGTTTGGAATTGGGGCGGCCGCCTTGAATGAACGCGCCCCCCTACTTCCTGATTGTGCTGACGAGATACACCAGCAACCGAGTACCATTGCCTCATCTTGGATTTCTGGCTCTTTCGTTTCGGGGGTTCTTGAGGGTAAAAGGAGTGGAGCATCTCGACCAAGCATCCATAGAGCTTGGGTAAAAAGGCCTCCCGCTGGGAACTCCCAGAGAGAGGTTGCCACATCATGAGCAACGAGCCCGACCGCGCATGGGAGATGTATGTTCGCCTCTGGCTGCATTGGTGAATGTTGTGGGTTCAGGGAGTGCATGGTTCATATTTAGGGCTATATAGTGTGCACACTAGGCCGCATAGAGGGCATCACTTTTAAGAATCGCCAGCTGACAGTTTATACTATGCCGCCACGCTAAGCCACGTCAACACCAGCCCCAAAACCGAGGCCCATAGAGTCATCGTGAACAGAGGGCCATTCTGCCCTGGAAGGGATCCTTGCTTTTGGACCGCAAAACGCTTTAGGAACGGGTGCATTCAGAAACCATCCAGATCCCCAAAAACCTGTCGCACCAAGGACCTTCAAATGGCGCATGCCCTCAGCCCAAAGATCCCGATTGTCAAGCCCACAAGAGCTGTGAGCCATTCTACTGAGCCCGGCAAAACACCACCAGGAATGGAGACGAGCAACGAGTCTTTCAACCTCCTCCACTTAATCGCCGCTGCCCCAGCTTCACGATATTGTACCGGTTGCACACAGCCACACGGCCTTTGAATGGGAGCTTTCACGGCGCTTGTAGGCTCTATGCTTCTTGTGCGGCCATCAGAAGTAGGAGTTGGCCTCATGGGGCTTGACCTCCAACTCGGCCCCAACTTTCATGACTTGTGTAGAAGCTCCCGGGATTTCAGGACACGGCTTCAGAGCTTGAGATGAGTTAGGGTTCCGTCAAGTAGAAGGCTGAGCGTCGAGGGCTGGCAAATAGGTTATTCCGTGAAGGACTCATCATCAGCAAGTCGCTGGTACGGTAAGTTAGGGTCCCTTGTGTGTGGATGCCCTAAATAGCAGGGGCGGTGACGGGCAGCCGAACCAAAAAGGATTCAAGTTTAGACATTATATGTTTAGGTCATGCCACGTGCTTAGCCCGGAAGGGCGCACACGCAATGCGCTGGAGCTAGCAGCTTGCACTCGAAACGTATGACAGGATCCATGACCATAACCCCAACCGTCCCTAACATTCAGCTATTTCACCCAAAAGCCGCACGTCGAGCTGGGTAAGCGGGCGGACTCTTCTGCTCCCCCATGCCATGGGATGAGACATTGCATTGTCCTTGCAAGGCAAATGACTGTTACAAGATGGGACAGCCTCTTGGCCTCACAAAGTGGATACCAGTAGAAGGGTTCCATGGGGCAGCTGGACTCTCCACTCAAAGTTCTTAAGCTACGTCGTTAGATGCGTAAGTCCCGGCAGGTTCTACTATGCGTGCAAAGCCTTCGACGTCCTAGAACGCTTGGATCCAGATCCAGAGCACCTCGGCTCGTGTGTGCACCGCCAGGGTGCTTAATATATATATATATATACATATACATATACATATATATATATATATACACCCAGAACACGTATCACATATTTTGGACATATAGGGTTTTTGCACCATCTGCTTTCGTCTCGAATTCTTCTCAAAACATGTTGGTATTGCCGGAAATTTTGCTTTAGCTGCTATTTGTGGAGGAAGCATGCTGGGAGGTGTGAACTCTCAGCCTAGTTGCTAAGCATTGGCAATTGCAAGTACAAACGCATCGGTCTTTGCGGGTCAGGCCAGTCAGGAGGAAAATCGTCCCCAGCTCACCACGAAACCGACAGGTTCTGGGAAGGAAAGAAGGGCGCTGCCATTGGCGTCTTCCAGCGTGTCGTAGCGGGGAGCCTTGTAACGCATTCGGAGGGGGTGGGGTGGGGTGGAGTTGGGGTTTAAACAGCTATATGTCAAAAGTCTTATTTAGGGAGAGCCTGAGCCTCAGGCACAATCCACCCCAAATCGCAACCCGCTCCAGGTCAATGTCGATGCATGCTTGTGACACAGACGCGTACTCTGCCACGCTCAGAAGGCTTCGAGTTTTTTCAAAGGCGGATCTCGGGTTTTACGGCGGTCCGTTGGCCGAGCAATTCAGATCTGGAGCCCAAGAGCTCAGGAAAGATTCCGCCGATAAGCTGAGAGAGGTGGTCCACCTCCTGCAAAGCTCCAGCAATCCACAGGCTGAGGGTTGGGGGAGCTTCTGGTTTTCCTGAAATTTCGGAGAAAAAAAACGTGTTTATGGGCTGGGCTGCAGCTTGCCGGTTTGATTCGGTCGAAGGCTCTTCCGAGCTGTGTCGCTGAGTTGTCCATTCTTTCGGGGCCGATGGGGCAAGAAAAACTAGACAAAAGTATGGGTCTATGTGTTCGGGGGGTTTACAAGCTCAAGACCGATGCTTAGATGTTGATTGGGATGGGATTTTCGAAGTTGTTTCTGACCAGCCCCAGAAGAGTGACGGACAGTTCTGAGCCTTGAGCCAGTGGCCAGGTCTTCAATCCCAGCAGCTCCAATCGTACCCTTAAGCAAACGCAGCCGTGTGAGGTGGAGTATATTGTCAACCGCGTCATCAAGAAGTGGGCCAAAGAGAATCGCATCAAGCTTGACTGAGTGGCCGTGTATCCTCTAACCCGAGACCCGAGATCTGAACAGCAATGGTCCATGAGCTTTCAGAGCAGACTTGCAGGAGATGGCATTCGCAAGTGCCTGTCATGAATCACAGCACTGCTCCTTCCCCATCCTATGAAGTGGCTTGGTTTTTTAGTGTAGCAGGTCTTCCAAGCTGGAAGACGATGGTCGAGTCTCACTGCCGAATTCACGAATTTGCGACGGTGTGCAGTTGTGCAGGTTTCACCAGCCGCCAGCAAGCGCCGACGTGTCAAACCTGTCTTGGAACCTTGCAGGTTTCGATCCCTGAAGCCCACAACTTTTCTTTTTGAATGCATCGGGGGTGATGAGCTGCACACTTCAAGTCACCTACTTACTTACACGTCCAAAAGCAATGCACAATCGCATCAAGCGGCCACAGCCCTGAAGGTAGCCAAGCCCCATAAGCCCGAGACTTAACCAACGCCCTAAACGCGAAGACCTGGCACACAGCCGGCGCCGGCTGAGTCAGCTCGTCCCAGAAAGCGCCCGGACATTGTGTTTCTGTACAGCCTTGTGCGGGAGGTCGGTTCGCCAGGCATGTTCTGGGAGTAGCGAGGAAGGATCTTAGGGTGGGCGCGGACCTGTCTGAACGCCTCCGGCCAAGTGAACACACGATCGGGGGGCCACGTGGTCGAAGTGCTGAATGGGACTCTTAAGGGCTGTGCTTGGCATCGGGGTTTCTTATGGCGGACTATACCTGGCAGATTGTAGCGGCTTGTCCGGGCAAATCATTCCCAGAGAGCCGCTTGTGAAGATTCGAGATTACGGACCTAGGTCCCTAAGCAAGGGTTGCTCCCAGTATGGCCAGTGATCGGTCCCCTGTTTACACTGATTGCCTCAAAGTCCCTATAGTGCTTCCATGTGCCCTAAAGAGCCACAGATTCGTGATGCTTATGGTCCCCGTTAGTCTTTCGGCATGGGGCATCCTCAACCTCAACCCTTCCATTTCTTGCACAAAGAGCTTAGACAGCGAGTTCTAGGATCCAGTCCCACGTCGCAGATGTTTGGCTGGCTCTGGGGAGACACATCCCGGATGCCAGTGAACCGATCTCATCGCCGCGAGGTGGCAACAAAGGCAGCCGCGTGAGTGTCAGATAGTGTCAGTGCATGGTGAATGTATGCATGGTTTGGCTCTACTGTGGTCTGCCGCACTCCCGTTGAATGGCTGCCATCATGCGAAACCCTACTATATTTCTTCCCTGCACAGCAGGAAGACGAGTCTCAGTTCATCTTCGGACGAGTGTCAAGCTTTCTCGCTCTCGAGTTTCTCAAAACAATCATCAAATGCCCAGAACCAAAACTCCGCCATAGTTAAACCTGCCTTTTGAACACGCAAGCCTTGGGCACGAGATATGCGGGTGACTCGCAACCAGAGGCGTCGGCACTCAGACCATTTCTTCTGGGGTAAGTGCTCCATCCCGTTCTCTTGCAATGTTCTCTGATTGCCTGGCATGCAGCAGATGCCCAAGGACTCTGGCCCAAAGCGACAAATGAATTCCGCGTCCAGCGTTTTAAAGGTCTACAGTAGGATGTGCGAGAAGATAGCCCGATAAGCCGAAGATGGTCGAGGTCCGCAGTACACTGGTAGCAGAAGGTCAGCACTGGGCCACTCAAGTCCTTGATCAGCTCATCCCTAGCCAATGATTCCCCAAAGCAACTCTTGACCGATTTGGCAGAAAATGCTTTCGGGCTTGAGTCGTTAAGCCTGACCCTTCAACCTTTAGCCGTTAACCCAAGTCTCTTTCACGAGCCACAGCGCTGGCATCCGTTTAGCATTCCAAGCCTGCGCCATGATTCGACCAGGCGAGCTTTGCTGTGCTCGATATAATATGCCTTGCGTCCTTTAAGGGGAAGTCCAACCAGCCAAGGACGCTCACGGCCTGAATGACACGTGTCAAGCTGCTAAAGGTTGAAGCGGGTTTATCATGATCAGTCTAGGTAGCCAAATAGCTTTCTGCCCGCCAAGGAGCATAAGACCACCTCAGTCTGAGTCCTTGGGTCCTTTTTGGTCCAGTACGACTCGGTGTTTGACTCTGGTTTTGGGATGTTCTTTCGCGGGCTATCATCAAGCCATGAGGCCACGGTTCGATCCTCAGAGACTGATCTCCTGAAGGCACCTCGCTGACCAAGCAGAAGCAGAAGCAGCGTCAGGCGGCCGAATGTTACATTATCCAGGCTGAGAGTAAAAGAAGGCAGGTTTTGGCATGGCCAACCCACGCCATGCCCAAAGCCCTGTTCACTTCGGAAGATGAGGTTCCGACAAGCCCAAGCTTATCGTATTGTCCAAGGGAGCTACGTAGGGCAGCGTGCGTGGAGAGAAACCGAATAATAATGAACGTAGATCACGTAGGATCACGTTAGATGGCTGTTGAGTCTTTTTTGGTGTTGGGAAGTAGAGCCCAAGCCAAAGAGAGTCTTGGGTTCGGCAGTCGCCGAAGGGTTCGGCTAATCTTAAGTGGCCTGTCCACATTGCCTTTTGCTATTGGTGAGCCAAAAGAAGACTTTTGGATAGTTCTCATCAGTGCCACTCGAGTGGTGAGCAGGGTGTCGGTCACGGCCCAGTACCATCAGCAAAAATCTGCCAACTTGTTGAAGTACTCCTCTACATGCAGCACTGCTTACATTGCGATGCGCATTCTATGACCCAGTAAATGCTGCAAGGGCCTGTCATCACAAGACACGGACCTTGAGTAGCACCCCAAGCAAACCCCTCGGATGCCCTCAACTCGGACTGAGCCCGAAAAACAAAACATGGCCTCAGGCGGCTCCTCGCGCAGCGCCGGGCAAGAAGAAAGAAACCGCAAGGCCCAAACTTTCAAACGGCAAGCGTTTCCACTTTGGTGGATTCGGGTTCTCGAGCGAATCGACTTGTAGGTTTTAAGCCATTTACTTGGGTTCTGCCCGGCGCACCCAGGTTTCAGTGGAGTATTTCGGTTTTGTGGGCAAGGGCATAGGGGTACAGCCAAGGCCCGAGGGAATATGACGAACGAATGATCAGGAAAGACGCACACGTCCTCAGAGGTCGTCTGCTGCATATCACCCTGGCCGGCTCATCCCCACCCCCCCCCACCGCTGCTGTAGGTGCTTGGTAGTACGGGCCATCCCAGCTTTTAGGGCAGCAGTTTCGAGTTCTTGGCAGCTGCCAATTCAGATCCTCCCGCAGAGTTGCGCGGCCTTGAGGGTTTGATTGATTGATCGATTGATTGCAGTAAGCTACCAATTGGGGTCTCTTAAGTCTGAAGACCTCCAGAGGCCTCAAAACAGGACCTCAGGACCTTGGAACTCGCCCCTCTATGGAAGGCCGAGCTTAGAGGAGTTCCTCGAGGCGCTCGGTGTTGGGATTCGCTTGGCACACGGGGCAGAAGGAAGTAGCCGCAAGTCGCAGCAGAGTTCCTCCCCCCGAATGAGAAGTTCCTCCATCGGAAAGGCCAAGCTTCCCAAGCTTCCCAAGCGTTCATCCAACTCCAATCACCAATCCTCAGTCCTGCACAGAGACCACACCCACACTCCGAATCCGACACTTGCCTTCACCCCGAAGCCCTCGGCCCCGCATCTCCTCCATCCCATAGATTTGTGCTTTGCTCTTGCTTTGCTCTTGTTGTATATCTTTGTATACACGTACGTAAACACTGACCTCCTTCTGGTCTCAACCGACGTTGACGGTGTCTTGGGTTAACATTAATTAAAAGTTGCAACTCGGGCTGCGGCAGCTTAAGACGCATCACCCATAATTGGGTTGGATGGTAACTTTCAACGACCGCAGGGGCAGCAGTGTGCGCGGTTACTTCTGCAGTCTTGGCTCTGTACCGCCAAGACCCTCAATAAGCGTACCTGTTTAGCTCGGTGCATCTTCATTGCTAAGTTAAGAAATCTCCAGTCATGCGCGGTAACTAGACCTCGCAGGTTTGCGACTATGTTGGCGCGGTCACGCTACTGGAGTTTGAGAAGAAGACGCGGGAAGATCGGCCACACTTGTTGATGTGGCTGGCATATAGCACCTCGTCTGGGAGCACGGCACGCCTCGATACTGTAGCTAACTCCCAAAGTTCTTCCTGAGCCTTGGGTTCTGAGATTCAACAGCCCAGTAGCACGTTCTACTGGGAAACCGGTACTCGTATTAGATTCGGGTGTACGTGCATTCTGCTATACGCCTGTGAGTATGATGCTTTTTACCGTTCTGGTGTTCTGAACCAGGTTACTTCCACAATGGTGACTACAAAAAGTCCATCGACACCTACGACGAAGCCATGAGAAAGGACAGTGATCAACGTCTACATGTCCATAATCTCTGAATCTCCAGCATTTGCACGTGTCCAGAAGACCACGGGATCCCTGGTGCTAAGCCCCCAAGCCCCGGCAGCCTCAATCATCTTAATCGCCTCAAAGCTGCCTTTGCCGTCAGTGCCCGACACGCGACCCAAAGGCCCAAGACTTTGAAGCCATTGCGTCCCAGGCTCTATCTCCCACAGGAACGACGCTGCAAGTAAGACTTGTAAATCATATGGGCGTTGTCCGCAAACTCCCGTTTTCTTTTTTACTGGCGAAAATCTGATATAGATTTCTGCTTGTTTTTTAGTCTCCGCGAAAGGCCCGCGAAAGCGCGGCGGAATGAGCAACGAAAGGGATAACATGGTTGGTAGAATATCGTGCCCCTTACCCCTCAAACCCGAAAGCGAGTGCGTTTAGGGACGCGCGGAAAAGGAAGTCATGGTGCAGGTTTCAGCCTATTTGGGGGTCATACTGTGATAGAATATCATGCCCTTTAACCGTCAAACCCCAAAGCGAGTGCGTTTAGGGACCGCAAAAAAAACGCACCCATGGTGCACGTCCCCATTTGGGGTTCATACATAGAATATCATGCCCCTTAACCCTCAAACCCCAAAGCGAGTGCGTTTAGGGACCGCGCGGAAAAGGAAGTCATGGTGCAGGTTTCAGCCGATTTGGGGTTCATACTGATAGACTATCATGCCCCTTAACCTCAAACCCCAAAGCGAGTGCGTTTAGGGACCACGAGTAAACGCACCCATTGTGCAGGTTTCAGCTTTTTTGGGGTTCATACATACAGTGTTTTGCTCCCCGACGAGTGCGTTTCAGGACCGTGTCTAAAATCACCCATATGGTGCTTAGGGTGTTTTATGCGTGATGCTCGAAAGCATTCACTTTGGCACGTCTTGGACAGCAAGATCTCCGCGACAGACGGCGATTGCTCCCTGATTAGTGCGCGCTGAAATTCGCGAAAGGTCCGCGAAAGGAACGCGGTTGGGCGGCAGGTCCTGGAAAGGCATTGGCCAGCCGTGCTTCCAACTTCCTTTGTTCTTACAGCCTGATAAGAAGAGGTCTGGAACCCTACTTAAGTCCTCGATCCGTTTGTTTTCCAAGTGAAGACCAGGGTCCAACTTCGTTTCGGGGCTTGTTTTCGAGCGACACGGTTCCGGTGCTGCAGGAGAATGATCCGAACATACCAGTCTACAAGGCCTGCTGCCACTACGCTACGCGGCCGCACTTTGGTAGTTAAGCCCGGTAGTTCATTTTTCCCCAATATGACCATCTGATTAAATCGTTCGGGAGAATCGCCGGAAGAACAGCAAGCGCGCTTCTTCAAAGAGCAGGCAGTCGTGTTTGTGCCAAAGGCTATTCTTCGGTGCTTTGAGGGGAACCTTATTGTTTGTTTCAGGAATTGCGAATTTCTGGGGTTTGGACTTTGGGATCTGTCTGTGCTCAGGTTGTGGCAGTTTAGGGCGTATAGTTATAGGGCTGAGGACTCGGAAGCCGTTGGCTTTCCGAAGTAGCGCCATATGTAGCATGTTTCAAGTTGTTTTTGAGGACACCTCATGGCATAGGTGTCTGAGAATCTGTGTGTGTGTGTGTGTGTGTTTGCGTGTGTGTGCGTGCGTGTGTGTGCGCTGTCGAACTCACTGCAATTTGACAATAGGTCCCAGAATCTCATTATCATACTTTAAATACAGCACACGGTCCTGTGCCAGTTCGGATGGTCAAGTCTTACAGAACTCCGAAAACCAGCAGTTGCATGTTGCAACACTGGTTTCTTCGCTCCATTGAACCCTCAACGCTGGCAAGCTTGAGGGTTTGCTGTCACTTCGCCGACTTAGCCAATTTCCTACACCTCATACCTTGTCATACCCCATGACTGGCTTCAGCTAAGGCTCTGTGCCAATATCAGGAAGCCGAGGAGGAAGCAACTAAGGCAGACTTGCGCCAGAAGATTTTGTTTGCGCCTTTGCAGGGTGAGAGTGTCTGGATTGCTGGTAAGATTGCGGGTCATGCAGGCAAGCTGTTTCCACTCTGGGCGCTAGCGTACTGTTCAGATTGGGTCACGGAATCAAGGATCTCCCAACTCCCTCCGCTCTCGATGTCATGGGTTCAACGGCTCAGTTTTCAAGAAAGCAACTTTTCATCCCAGGCCCGACAGCCAAGCCCCAAACATCGCTATCACTCCTTGACACCATCTGGACACGAGTTGCATACATAGGTAGAGCGGGGAAACCCCTGAGAACCCAATGGAGCCCCCTGTGGACCCAACCTTGGCGCAGGCTCCCGACAGCCCTTTGAAGTCGCGGGTTCTCTTCCAAACAGCTCTTCCGCTCCATTTGGTTTTTGGGCGGCTTGTGGATCGAGGGTAGGTTTGGGAGGTGGGTTCCACGCCTCTACGCAGCCTGGAGTCCCTCTAAACAGGTCCGTAGAATGAATCACTCCTAGGAAGCCTAGACTGGTTGAGGTTTGGGGTTTAGGAGCTTAGGGCGTGGGGTACTCCCCGTTTAAGGGGCAGGCGCCCGAGGATGCAGTGAGCCTTAGGTTTTCGCGGGCTTAAGCAGTTTTGGAGGGAAGGGTGCATTCAATGCATTCAAGTCCTTCAAGTGGTCGCAACAAGTCACACGCACGCAGCCGAATGTCGGCCTGGGAAAGTTTCAGGGATCACTGTAACGTGGCTCATCTCCTCCGGTGGCCCAAGTGCTGCAAACTCGCTCTTACTCGCGCTGTCGTAGAGCGTGGCGGTTCTTCAAACTAGGCCCCAGCTGCGGTCGACGGCTTGTTGTTGCAAATCTCTTCTTTGCAGCCTGTAATGAACCCTTGTGCTGACGGTAAGGCGCACAAGCGCAACGACGAGAGTGCCATGATGATTCATCACCAGGCTGCATTGGCACTGATGGGTTGAGCCGAAAGTGTTAGACATCTCAGAGCTTCGACAATCCCCAAAATCGTGCAGACAGGCCTCGATGCCAATCTGGAACAGAACCTTATATGATATCATAGACAATCCCTTGAAGCAAAAAAGGTCACTGCGCAAGTCTAGGTGGCTTGAATGGCATCAGGCACTGTCCGAGAGCAAGGAAGACCAGCTATGCCTTGCGGCGATACAGTACCTCAGGACCCGGTGATTCGCAAGATGTGGCGGTGGCGATTTTCACACCTTGGTCATGAGGGATTAGGCCGAGCAGGCCACTGAGGCATCAAGCAATGAATGTAGGTCCTCGGCTTGTAAGGCTGAGCTTTCAATGGTACTTCTCAAGCTTTACGTTCCTGCTTCGCCAGGCCGTATACTCAAGCACTCGGCAGTTGAGATATCTCGGCTAGCAACATGTGATCGCTGCTCGCTCTATATGCCTGTTTTCAACAGCCCCCCCCCCCCCCCCCCCCCCCCCCCCCCCCCCCCAATCCAAATCTTCAAGCCCTTGCACACCACGAAGCAAAAGTCCATCCTTTAGTCAATCACTCACCCCCCCCCCCCCCACACACCACCACACCACCCACCCCCCCACACAAGTTCACGTTCCCGACGAACGAGCTTCTTCTTCTCCTGCCTGACAGTGGTTGCATCCTCACGGTGTAGATGTTAGAGTTTTTAGCGAAAGGTCTTCGAGGGAGTCGGTTCGCCAGACCTCCAAGCCCCCGAACCCTGAACTCTAGGCCTCCTACCCCCTCCAGCCTTCCAGGAGCCATTTCCAGGAGGCCACTGACATCTACAAGAGGAGACTTGGGTGCAAGTCCTCTGCGCCCTAAGCCAAGTAGCCAAGTAGCCCAAATCGGGTTCTGTTCTGCCTTCACAAAGCGTCTAGAGAAATACCTTGACATGCTACGGTTAAGCCTCCTAGATTTCGGAGATTTAGGTGAGACATCGTCCTGTCACAAGTTTCTCTCAGATACGGTTGGGTTTAACTTTTATGTCAAAGCAAACACTGCCCAACCATGTCCTTCCCGCTGACAAGGATGCTGGTGGAGGATCGGGAGGATCTAGCCCTGTTCCCTGGCTAGAGCGGGGCTCTTTGCAACTTAGGGTTTGAGGACTACTGTTTGTGCCTGTAAGTTGCTTCTCGTTCACGCATATCTTCAGCGGGGACGTGGGAGGATGCCCAGGTTCCTTGCTTGAAAGGGACTGTGGGCCTGGGAAGTGCTGTAGAGAAGGTCAGCTCAAGTTCAGGTTTTTGAGGATGCTCCCGGCATGGAGTTGGTGTCACCCTGCCCAGTCTGAGCAAGCGTGCTGCTTCGGATGTGGACCGTACGTATGGTTTGAAGACCCAAGTCTTAAAATCTAGAATCCTACTTTGGTAAGACTGCAAACCCCAAGTCCAACATCTCCCAAGCCCCCCCAGCCCTGCCCAAGTCCAAGCCACCTGAAGCTAGAGTCAGCTACAGAATCGCCCCAGATCCCCAAATAACGCCAAGGAACGTCTACATCGCCTTTTGCTACTACAAGCTCGCACGGGTCTCAGTAAGCCCCATATCTTCGCACCTTCCAGTCAGCATGGCAAACCCTTTAGCCACTGGAGTCCCAAGTCCCAAGCTCCAAACGAAACCGAAACTCTGGAATTCATTTTTGGTTGCCAGTTTTGAATGACTGTTGGGCGTTGGGCTTCAGGGCCCTGGAAATGCATTGAACATGCTGCCGAACTTGGTCTAGTGGGTTCAGGGCTTGAGGACCTACCGATGGCTAGCCCAATGGTAAGGCTCTTTCATGCCAACTCCCAAGAGAAAAGCGTTCCGGCGGATCCCAGATCAGAGTGCAGTGCTTAATCGTTGCCTCTCCACAAGTTCGAAAAGCTAGCAATTTGACGCAAAAGGATCACCAGTTCTAAAGCTGAGTTGTGGTTAAGCCAAGTCAGTCCAGTTGAACCAGTTGGGGCCCATGCATCCTTCAGAAAGAGTTCCGGGGCCGTTGGCGAAAGAAGCTTTGCTGCATGTGTGGAGGACTACTACGACGTGGCATTAGAGATTCTGCAGGCCTACATCACGCAGCCTCTTGCTTCAACAGCGTGCTGGGGCGGAGATGCAGTAGGGCCGCTAGGGGTTGTATGGGCCAACCGAGATTCAACAGCCTGCTATCAGGAAGCCCCTGATGCTGGGAAGTGCTGTCTGCAGCTGCGAGTTGCGAGAGCCAGAAGCTGCGATGACCAACATTCTTCGACTGAAGCTTTTTAACTAGCCTTCTGGCTGTTCTAGCCCGGTCTAAGCCCATGGCATCCCATGGCCCATGATTTGGCGATGGAACTGCTGCAAGGCAGCGGCAATCCGAAGCTCTGAGGTGGCAAAATAGATCAGAATGCCTCTGGGCTGAGGCATCCCCAGAGCATCGTCGCTGTTAACCTCAAGGCTTGCAGCCACTACCAGCTGTACAATGGCAAGGCTGGTGGCGCGCCGTTTGTTTCGGGCCGTTTCGGGCCGTTTCGGGTAATTTGGATCTACTGGCCTGAGGACTTGGGTTCACAGTGGCCGAAGTGAGGTTTCTCCATGTCTCCCCACACTGTCTCGTAAGTAACAAGCCTCGAAGCGGGACGTCTTCTCCGAAGTCCCGAACTCGAAACTAAATGACCTGAATGCGAAGCCCCAAGCCCAAACTCCCATGCCTGTAATTTCTAGGAACCCCTATGAGCAGAGCGCGAAGTCTGAGACTCTCAAGAGGCAGCCGAAGCCGAACTCAAAGTACTGCAGCAAGCCTCGAGCAGTCGGTTGGTCTGCACGAAGCTTCTGTTTCTTCTTCGCCGGGAGTCCGGGAGAAGGGCGTCAGGGCTTTGCAAGCAGTGGGTGATTGGCGTTGAGGGTTCAGACCGGGTTCAGAGTGCCGGGATTTGTGAACGTGTTGGCCCGCGGCCACGTTGGCAGTTGGCAGGGGCTCAAGGTTCCGGGGCTGTCGGCGGCGGTGTGTCGTTCTCATGTTTGAGGGGGTAGGTCCAATTGGGCAGGCGGACGTTGTGCAACCTGAAGCGCAGAGGTCAGGGCCGTAGGGTTTGGATGAAAGGGTTCGGTCTGCAGCGGGTTGGGGGGCACTGGATGTCCAGGTGGCAATATTTTTCAAGAGCACGACCTGCTGCAGCACAACCTGGTCGTGTTCAGCCCCTTGTTCAAGAAGCTTTCGAGACTTGCTTTTCCTTTTCTTGGAACCTGTACTGTTTGATACAATTCCATCCTTCCTCAAAGATTCAGAGCCACCTGCAGACAGCCCATAATGCTGTGTATGATTAGACGTCCAGTGGAATCCAGTACCTATTTCTAGGCAGAAGCTGGCCCTGTATGAGCGAGGAGTCCCAGCAACGAAAACAGGACTCTGGGCTCGCGGCCCTCGACCCTCAAAGCAAACACAAGCACTTTCAATCCAGAGCCTTATTTGGGGTTTCCTGTCTTGAAAGGGGAGGACCTGTATATCCGAAGTTCCGGCAAGGAAACGGCGAGAACGCGATACAAGTCCTGCCACCGTTGTTGGACATTGTCCCGGAGGCCAGGTCCTCTCAGAAAAGTTCGACATTCCTCTTGGGAAGACTACACCGGCTCCTCTGAGCCTAAAGCGGCTTCAGGAGCTTCGGCGTTCCCTCAGGGCCTTCAGGGCCCAGGATGTGCTAAATCTGGATCTGAAACCCATCGCCGAAAAGATGCTCGGGGCTCCAGGATGCTAAATTGCTGCTGCATATATTCAACAAGGGATACAGAGACCTTCAACGCACCGAGGCGCGGCTGAACCTCGTGATCTACCACCTCCGACTGGGCGAGGACTTCTGGGGATGTGGGGTATTTGAATTTGCATAGCATCTGTCATCTTCGAGCCCCAATATTCCCAAATTCAAGCCCCAGATTTTGACATCGATAAAGCTATAAACCTCAGGAGGCAGAACATTCAAAGAACTCCAACTCCGAAAACAAGACCTCCGAACAGTCTGACCCTAACCGCCCTTGAGCAGGCGCAAGAGGCTTACAACCTCATCAAAGACCTGGAGCCTTCGATGCCCCGGGAGCCGCCTGCACAAAGCAGTGGGGTTGCCCTGCTACTGTATCGGCCTTGCTCCCTTTTTGGGGATAGATCTCAGATGGTCTCAGCACGTACCCAGGCGTCAAGGATTTACTGTAGGACTCGGTGATTGCAGCATCGGTGTACATGGTCTTCCGGATGTACGTATACTGTGGGTGCAAGTGTGGGGCTTGGAGGCGAGGGGAACTCCGACCGTGCCTCTCTCGCTCAAGATTTTAAGTGTTTAGGTGTTGAGGTTCACTGTTTAGGCTTTACGGTCGTCTGGGGTGCTTGGGGTTCAGGCCCGCAGGCTCTCTGGGCAAATCCTGGGGTCCCATGCAAGTAAGGTACATCTTGAAGGGCGTCGTCTTTGCTGCACTTGGACAGGCGTGCTGGCTTTGCAAACCTCGCCAATGACTTAGAATCGTAGGGGTCCTAGGGCGCAGAAGAAGAAGAAGAAGCAGAGGCCTTTTAGCTGCATTCTGCAGTATTGCTAAGAATGTAGGACTGAGCCATAGCAATTTCAACTTTGTCGTGCAAGAGCTTTTGCGGAAGCCAGGGGTCCAGGAAAATCTAGACCGCGACACCCTCAGCCTCAACCCAGAAATCAGCCCATGTAGCCTGAACCCTCGCGCTGGCTCCTGCTCACTCTTTGCAAGTGCACTTGAACTCGCAACCCCGACGACTTCCAAAGCCTGAATGCAAAACACGCGCTTGACCCCTCTCCCAGCATACCCCCGAATGCCCCCGAAGCCCTGCAGAAGGACCGAAAATGACCGTGAAGCCCAAAACTGCCCCTGAGCCCTCAAACTTGCAAATGACTCAAACGGATTTCTTACACCGCGCCAGGCCACCAACTCGCGAGAACACCTCAAGTTGGCACAGCTGCGCAGTCGCAGAAAGGTTCAGCTCAGGAGGTCGAACAGCCAGGCATCTTTTAGGTAGTACAAAGATGTAGACAAACGTAGACGACACCCTGAAAATGTAAACTCTGGTGCCCCTGGGCCGGAGGTGTGCCTAGGCCGCCTAAGCCTTTCCCTGGACTGACGTCTTTGTAAATTGGCCACATCTCTGTACTGCCTGCCATGAACCGACCCCTCCAAGCTAAACTCAGCTCTGAAGCTTTAGAACCCCTCTCACTCTCTGCAATTTCAAGGCAGCTTTTCCAGTTGGTGGGCGCTTCGGCATCCGAGTGCGACACGATTCCAGGACTGGACTTGGTAGTGTTGGCCAACAACCTGGCTTAAACCCTACACTAACGCTACTTCGGTTCCTTGTCGGGTTTGGGGTTGGGGGTTGAAGGTGCCGAATGTAATGGCGGAACTGAGGCCCTTTCCGGAACCCCGCGTTGAAAACTTCCGGCCATTCATTGTGCCAGCAGACTAAACTTACATGCCCACGTCATGAGCAAGCGAAATGGAACTCGCTATTAGAGTCAAGCAAGTCTTCATTCCGCAGACACCAAAACCCAGACCCCTCAAAATCCTGGACCCCAACACCCAGAGTATTGCACTCATGGTGGTCGAAGGCCGACAGTGCATGGCATCATGTTTCTTCCTGCCTCTTGGCTGATACCGCCAGCGCCCCTGCATCACTATCGTCCCAAATCATTCACCGAATCCTAATCTTAGGATTTCCGCCTGCAGCTTTTGCACTTGCGCTTGAAACTAAGTGCAGAGTCCCATGGGCTCAGCCCCATGGAGAAGTGCAGTCAGGAGCCGCAAGCCCTAACCCTATCCTGCCTCGAGCAGTTGCAGGGTTTCTGTTGGGTCCAAAAGAAAGCCACTGCTCTGCGTGATGTGAGCCTAGGCTTCGACAGTTTGAAGATGTTCTGGTCTATCTGCGCCTCGTCGGCCAGTTCGGGGTTCTGGCGTTCTTCGGGAAAGTCCCGGCCCTTGAGTGCGAAGATGCAAGGTAGAACCCGCCGTTGCTTTGTCGGGGGGTTTAACGGCCGATGTATTCTCGTGTTAAGGCTTCGATCTCTTTGTTCGCTTCTGCTTGCCATAGGGTCATGGGTATCCGCGCAGGCAGTGCAGATTTGAGAACCCAGGCCAAACGAGTCACTGGATCCCATAAACCTGAAGTCTCCGATCCTAAATGCCTTGCAATCCTGGAGCCCAGAGCCTGAAGAGGAAGTCCATCAAAGCGTACTTCTCCAACGATGATGACTTCAACTGGAACTATGGCATTGCGTGTGCCTCTTCAGGCCAGGCTTCCACGTCTTATTACCTGTGTATCCCCAGAGGTTGCAAGTATCGTTCACAACTCAGAGACATCTCCGAAGTAGTTTGCCGAGCTTCGTACCACGTGCAGGATCGTAGCCGAAGGGGTTATGTGCCGCTGGATACTTCTCCGCGATAATGGTCCTTCCATGCGCTTATGCCCAACATACCCGTGCATAGAAGCCCGCCGCCTCGAAACCAGAAAGCACCCAAATCGCAGCGCGAAGTGGTGACCCATCGTCCCGGCCCTCAACATGGGGTGACAGCCTGGGGGAGAGATGTCAGTCGATATGATCAAGACGCCGCACGCATCCCCCACCCCTGAACCCAATCCCCAAATCTCTGGCAGGAGACTACAAGGAAGGAAAGGATGCACTTCTTCAGAAACATGGCAGCACGCACAAAACATGACATTGCTGGGTTTTAGGTTTTTTTGGGGCTGGGGGGTGCTGGGGGTGTAGAAGGCTTTAAAGAGCTGACAAGGCTATGCCTTTTGAGTTTGGGACTCCCGCTGCTAAGTGCTCCAGACCAGAAAAAGGCCCATATTTGCCAGTGCTTGTCTTGACCCACTACTCGATCCTTGCTCTATTCTGTAGAGGGCTTGGCCTCTGAGTAGTCTGGACTGCATGCCTACATCCAGGAACCTGCGGTCAAGCTGCAAGCGGCTAAGTCGTCAGAATTAGCTTCGGACCCTCTTCCACTCTGACGCAAATTGTAGCCACAGGATTCAAAACGAGAAGTATCGCGCGGAGCTTCTCGGCCGCATGGTGTGTCTGCGCAGCATGCAAGGCAAATTTTGTGGTTTGCCTGCGAAGGGGTACATGAAAAGTCAATGGGGGCAAGCTTGGTAAGCCAGAATTTAAACTGTAGAACTCTCGAACCTCGAACGCCTGAAAGACACGATGGCAGGAGCTTTTTGAGCTCAACATAAAAAACCAAGTCGGGGTCAGTGTACAACCTCCTTCTCAGCTTCGGGGCGAGGGATCAGGGCCGGTCCGTTCGGATTGAGGCTTCAGGAGCTTTAGATATGTCCCCCGTGCTAGATATGTCCCCCATGCACAAGTAAAGGTTCTGCTGGATGAGCTGGCTCTCCCGCTGCCACATCATGAGCAACGAGCCCGCTCGCGCGTGGGAGATGTATGTGCGCAACATGGCTGGCTCTAAAGCTACAGGGCGCAGGACATGTGCACTACGAAGTGTTTTCGCAGCCCGGCAACCTAGCAAACTTGCAGATCTAAAGTTGTTATTACAAATCCCAGAAAAGCGATGCCTTGATATCCCATCACGGAGTCTTGGAACCCGCAACCCTGAGCCCGAAGGTCAGAAGCCACCCCCACAAGAAGCAGCATTTTGGAGTCTCTTTTCATGTAACTAGGGCGTCTAACAGAGTCTAACAGCTAACAGACACAAACCATCCTTCGCCATTGTTGAGGGGTCCCTGTAAAGACCCTAACCCCAAGATCCGAAGATTTGAGATCCGCCCCAGGCATGGACACCAGCAACGAGTCCTTCAACTTGCTCCATCTCATAGTGGCGTGTCTTAGGATCTTGGGGACGAAGGGTTTGGGTCTTGGAGAGAGTGTTTGGGGATCGGCTAGTTTCGGTGTGTAGCTAGGATTTCTTGGATTGTGGGGATCTCCCTTTATCCCGGCACTTCCGAGAGATTTTGAATCCTGCTTGCTGCTGGTGGGATACTTGACCGGAAAGGCCCAGCAACGCCTCAGCTGGTGACTTGAAGCACTGAGGGCCCCTGACTGTGAGGCCAATGACTGCTACAAGATGGGGCAGTTCTACTATGCCTGCAAAGCCTTCGATGTGCTGGAAAGGTTAGACCCAGACCCAGAGCCTCTTGTCCAAAGTGTCCACAAGCCTTCAAGATGCCCTCAGATGGACTCAGGAGTCTTTTCAGGGCACGGTGACGCGGTGTGCATCAGTGTAACAGTTCGCGTGCGCCACGACGCAGAAGTGATTGAACAAAAGTGGCAAAAAAGACGAAGCCTACTGTTAGCGTGGTTTACGTGCATGTGTACCTGATCTTGTGAAGGCATCCCGGCATGGTGAAGAGCGGAATGGCGTTTGCGGTAGTAGAGGCACTTGTCTGGCACCATACCAGGACCTGGACCTTAACCAGCAGCCAGGTCTAACGAGCTCGGGACGTGAAAAAGCAAGTCGAAGTTCTGAAAGACTGGAGTGCTCAAGTGCCACGAGTCCCCAAGGGCGAAAGACAGCAAACCCTGCGTCTCTGAGAGCAAGACACTGCTTGGTTTACAGTCTTCACAGCCCGGAATGCTGAAGCAATGCCTAAACTCTCAAATTTGAGTTTGGTCAGTTCCAAGCGCGGAAGCAACATCTTTCATGTCTGGGCCTGAGGAGTTGTACAATGACACACAAGGCAGATCAAGGCAGCCTGTGAAACTGTATTCAACGCACCCAACTTAGCCAATTAGCCAATGTTCAAGGATCACTGACTGAGTTGCTCAAGGTTCTGGGAGGGCAAGCGGGGTGCCGCCGTGGGCATCCTCCAACGCGCGGCCGCCGGGAAGGAGTCGCCGGACAAGCTCCAGGAGGGGATCAGAGTGTCATGCCTCGAGAGCCCCTAAAGTTTACCTCTGACAAAAAAGAAAGCGTCGTGGAATCGTTGAAATTCAATGTCTACAAGGTCACTTCCATTCACAATCCCGCTACTCGGGGGTCCTAGCTAGCGCATGTGCTGAAGACTCGAAGTAAAGTTTGGAAAAAATCGATATTCTCAGGAGGTGGTCCACATGCTGCGGAACTCCAGCAACCCACAGGCCGACTTTCGAGTCCTGTGAATCCTTTACCCGACCCAGAAACCTGCCTCGAGGGTCGTTCTAGTTAGAGTTTAAGGCAGGGTTCTGGGAGGTTATATTGCGGGTACTAGCAGTTCATGCGGAACTTCAGCAGCTCTTGTTTGGATCTCTTCGGATCCATGCTGTGTGCAGCTAGGAAACCGAAACCCCATGAGGTGGACTACATCATCACGCGCATCAAGAAATGGGCCAAGGACAATCGCGTTAAGCTGGAGTGACCTTGGAGGACCAACTCAGCCTTGAACCAGGGGCTGTCTTGGTGAGTCTTGAATTCTGAACCCAGAAATCGGGGGATGAAGTGCAGCGTGTTTCTTTACTTCCGCCGTAGAGCAGTAGAGCAGTTAATGCACGGCTCAGGGTCCTCTTACTTCGCCTGGATCACCAATCAGGCTTGTGATGGTACAGAAACCATATGGTCTTTTCGTAGACTCTGGTCAGACAGGAGGATGCTCGCAATCAGCAGGTATGTCCAGAGCTCTCGTCTCTGGCAGATTACCATGTTTCACCAGCAAGACGACTTGGGCCTCGGTCGAGCAAACCTGGTAGCAGCTCTTGACCAGAATTAAAAGGAAAACAAACCCCCATCATCCCGTCTTGAAGATTTAAAAGCTCCCTATTTAGCGCGTTGCCAATCGAGACAGTCGACGCGGTTTGATGAACGGCTTCAGGCGAGGCACTCACGTACTGCACCAGCGTTGAGCATGCAAGTCTGGTGTTGACTGAGGGGCCCAATTGCATGTCAGAGAATGCCGGATGCTGCTCTTGGTCCCGAGTGAAAATCAGCCCGCCCGCCGCCGCATGATACTCCCTTCGACTCCTCACCCCCCCTTGCACACCCCCCTTACACCCACCCCCCATACAAGTCTCATGCTTGTTCATCTTCTTCCATGCACCCACACACACACATCCGCACAAACTTTCTCATCAAGCCTCATATCATCATACCATGCACTTGCAAGTGTGTTTCAGGGATGCCCCTTTGTCATTTTCCTTTTCATCTGTTGAAATGGATGTGGAAACAGCTCTATGGTGAAATCAGCTTCACGACTTAGCCGAGACGTGACAGAGAGTCTTCTTGTGAGAGCCTACTCGGAGCTGTCACCGAAAAAATCTTTCCTTACCCCAAAGAGATGCATAGACTTCCTTACCATGGTCCAACAATCAGCAGGCAGAGGCCTTAAACACTGTTTGTGGGGTCAAAGCTGAGCAAGGTTTGGGAATGTGGTGTACCGGGTTTTTTGCAACAGTCAGAACAGACAACAATGTGAGTCTTGGGATGGTCAGTTGCCAAGAGTCTGTTTTCTGCCACTACATTTGTGGCTGTCCAGAATTGGTTGGCTTTGATTGGTAGGTTCACCCAGCCATGGCTCGCGGAAGTCGGCATGCGCTGGGCGCTATTCTGACGGTTCTGGCTGCATGCGGCGCCATGTGCGGATCTTTCGTGCAAGGCCAGCTTCAGGGAATTCGCTTTCCAGCAGGCGTCGATCTTATCTGGAGTCTCTGCAGTTTCGGTTGTCCCGCAGGGGTGCGGCAACAGGGTTCCCGATTGTGTAACCCCTTAGCCCTCCTGATCAAAAGGATTCCCCGGGTTTGAACTCTTCAAGCAGGATTTTAGGTGACTGTACTTCGGAACTTGTACGTATTCAGTCGTACGAGGAACGCAGGCAAGCGAATCCTGGCTCAAAAATTGACTTGACCATGAGCGCTCCGAAGTCTTAAGCCAGAACCAAAATCACGCCTTAAGATGACCCTCGAGCCTTTAGACCTCAAGTCATCAAAGCTTGATGATCCGACTTTAACGCCCTGGGCCTCAAATTGCGCCCAACGCCAGCTTGTACGTTAGGCGAGCGTGGGTGGGAACTTGTACCCCCAGCAAGTCAACGGTGGAAGTTCAAAAGTAAGGAAACGCTAAACGTTGCGAGGCCCCACGAACAGGTAGCATGTTGAATTTTAGGATCATATTCCACACAGACGCCCCCAAAAAATTTTCCTGTCGCCAATGCGCTCTCTTGGAAGACCCCGCGCCAGGTGGACCTATCGTGGGCCAGTCATGCTCCCCCGCAGCTGTCCGCATCAAGGTTCACCGCGGGTTCGAGCAGGGGTTCGGCAAGTGCTGTTCTTGTAGCAGTACGTACGCCTCGCTCATTCTCAACAGACAAGAAGCACAGTGCCCAAACGCAAGCCCAAGATATACAATCACTCATGCTCTTCATGGTAGAGATAGTGATCGTGATCACAACTGCAGCAGCAATCGGCACAGTAATAGCAATGGCAATCGCAATAGTGTTTGTGTTGGTAAGTATAGTAAGTAGAAATAGTATCTGTGCTAGTTCTAGTATCAGTGTTGGCAGTAGTTGGTATTAGTAGTTGTGTTAGCAGTAGCAAAATAGAAACAGCGGTAATCGTAATGGCAATAGCACATGCAATAGCGATTGTGATCGTGACAAAGAACCGACAGCAACAACAGCAACAACAGCAACGGCGGCAACAACGACAACAACGACTACCACAACAACGACCACCACCGCAACCACAGCCACAGCCACAACCATAACCACAACCACAAGCACCATCTCAACCAGAAGCACCATCTCAACCACAGGCACCATCTCGACCACAACCACCACCTCAACCACAACCCGCAACCACAACCGCAACCACAACCACATCCGCAACCGCAACCGCAACCACAACCACAACCGCAACCAGCAGCAACATCATCATGGGCAACAACGCAGACAGCGACAACCATAGTAAGAACAGTTTATAAGAACCGCTGTCTCCAGCGCCCGCCACCACCGCCGCGCCCGCTGCCCGTCCCGCTGCCACCCACTGCCACTGCCGCTGCCACTACCATGCACCACAACATGACGACGACGGGGACGGCTACGATGACAACTACTTCGATTACTACGATGACTCTGTTGGACCAGCGGTTCTTGTGCAACTTACCTTACTGCAACCACTGCAAAATTCCGACGGCTGCGACGATGGCGCTGTGAAGACAAGACTGCGAGACGATGACGGCGACGACGCTTAGCTGCGGCGACCGTCGCTGACTGAAGTAGGAGCAGTTTAGCGGCGGCTGTAGCAAAAGCCGCAGTACCGCAGCAACAGCAACGGCAACTGTGAACACACACAGTATGGTTATAGGCCGAATTAGGGCGCATAGATGTGGTCAGATATCTTTATTCATGTGGTGGTGGTGCGCCATCGTGTGCATGCAGTGCGCACGCAGAAGCATCTTGCTTGTGGAGGACGTGGGCCGGCGAGCATCGGATGGCGACCGCGGCGACGTCAGCAGCCGGCGTAAAGTGATCTTTGCCGCCTGCATCTGCAGTTGATTCTGCTTGTTCCGCGTGCATCTATTTGCCATCTTTTACGTTACACATTGGCTGCCCCAGCTCGTTTGGCCCGCCAACTTGCTTGTCGAAGTGGGTGCCCAACTGAGCTTTCGGTCAATACTCCCTCTGGCTGCCAATCCCGAACCCCAGCCCCAAACCCAGAAACTTGATCATGAGTTGGCATCATTTCCGGACCGTCTTCTTCCAGGCTGTGAATTGGTTTGGGTTTTTGGCAGCATTGACCCTGAGCATCTTGATTGAACTTCAACTCCGACCTCAGCTCGAAGTCGTCAGGATTCGCTTTCAAAACGGTCACCTTCCACAGCAGCTGTAGCAATCATGACCCTCTTGCACCTCGGCAACAGACAGCATATGTTGCGTGTAAGGCTGATGATGTTGCAGATGTTTGTTGCTAAGCTTGTAAACTCTTAGCAGCGGTAAACCTTGAACTGCCACCACAGGCTGCTTGTTGTTGATGCTTCAGCGTTTGAAAAGCCATTCCCGTATCCGAGCCTGCACTTGGCAAGGATCGCCTACATCCTCACACGGGAGGAGAAGGCCAGTGCGCAGTCGACAATATGTCCACAAGTTGGCAGCATTGCCATGTCCTTTCACGGTGCAGCCATGTCAAGGATTTCGGTTTCAGCTTTAGAAGGAATTGTCTGTACAGTGCAATTTGCAAAGATTCTTGAGGTTCTGTTAGAGTACGGACAAGAAGGATGTTGAAGTGGCCAGGAGAACTCCGTGAAATGCTGTAAAAGCTTGAAATACCCTGACTGCATCGGGCATAGCCTGCAGCTTTGAACCGTGTGTCGTTACATGACCCAAACCACAGCTTGAGGACTGGACCTTCTCCCAATTCGAAGTCTGAACAGCCTCAACTCTTTGAATGCATTGAACCTCCCATTATTCCAACTGGCCACACTCAAGTCTTTCGACTCCATCACTAGTACAGACTTTGCGGCTGAATGTGTTGGCCAAGGCGAGAAAGGGCAAAATCTGTCCATGCCTCAGCCATGTTGGGTTTCGCAAGGGATCTTTGTCTCCGCTATCAAAGAGCACTAGCCCCGAAATAAACCTGCTGTGTCTTTTGATGTCTTTGGTGTCCGCGTGTAGCGCCATTGATTGATTGTTGATAGCCTTGTTGTAGAATCTTCCGAGCGCACACATCCTGTAGTCTTGTGATGCCCTGTGTGTGAGGTCGCAGAACACCTAGCCTAAGTAAGTGGTTCTGCCTCTATGGCTCTATGATCCAACTCGCACACGTACAATTGCATGTCCCAAAGAAGAGCGGGTGACCGTACATACTCGGAAGCACTGCAATCTGAACTCCCAATCCCCAGCCGTGATGGTGAACATAGACCGTGAAGATCTGAGACGCAGCTAGGGGAGTTTTCCTAGAGCGGTCAAGAGCTGCCCGGCATGCCCACAGAATCTCACCGGAGCTCTCAGCATCTCTCAGTCGATCAAGACGGCTCTTCTTTTAGCAGACGTTTCGTATCTGCACGCTACTATCTGCTACATGCAACGCGATGGGATCCGCATGCCATCCTACTGGTAGCCACTGTAGTATCCTGCTCCCGACGATACCCCCTTCCCACTGTCAGGTGTGCGCAGCAAGCAGTACATTGCTCCGCGGCACAAGTCATTCTTTGCAGGCCCCTGTGCCCCTGTGCCCCAACACCTCGAACTCCAGTCCGTAAGAATCGGGTTCGCAGCCAGGTCTCCCCTCGATTTGATTCTATCCTGTTGGAGTTCTTTCGTAGTCTCCCAAGAACAGCCAGGAGTTGCAAATGTGGCACCAACAAGGGAGCTTTGTACCCGTTGCAACGGCTCTGACAGATGTCCCGCATTGGGACCAGTTATACCGGGGACCAACAGACAAGTAGCTCTGACATTCTATGAGAATTCGATGACGTAAAGGCAGACTTGCAGCTCAATTGTTTCGTTTCGCTCGTAGGGTGATGATCGTGTGCCACTTGATCTGCGGAGCGGCCATGAGCCCCGAACCCAGCTAGCAGTCTGCCCAACTCGACCCCGCAAGCCTCCGGAGCTTTCATGGCTTTCATTGTTCTACTGTAGCATTCTAGCCCATGGAAGCCGACTGAGGACGACTACATGGCAGATCCCGCGAAGGTTGAGCGCCTCGCTGCCAAAGGTGTGCCCTACGATCAAATGAGGCCGTAAGTATGTGGGACTTTCCGGGACTTGGTTCAAGAGTCCTGTGAGGAGAGTCGCTGAGGGCATGCAGTGTCCAATCCCACTGTAGTTGCGATGCTGTGTTTGTGAGGCGTTCCGCTTGTTTCCTCAATGGCATCTTTTCTCCTTTTTCCGCATTTCCATCTTGGATGCAGGTAGCGGGCAGTTCTAGGGCTCTAGCTGTTTGTTGCTACAAGTAGGAGAGCCATTGGGGAGTTGGGTTACCCTACCACTGTGGGCACAACCGTTCTTCGTTCTCCGTGGAACACCTCTGATTAAGTAATCTTGTCTGAAGGCAGTGTTATTTCTAAATCTTCCAGAACGAGACGCTGCAGGGTCCCTGTTCCGCCCTCACTTTTCCTCCCACTGATCACTTGTGTCCAATATAGGCAAGACCCCCAGCTTTTGTTGCTTAACCTGCCTTGACAGCATGCCCTGCAACAGTAAAAGTGAGCTTGGATGTTGAATGCCGAAGAGCTGCTTGCAGGGCCTATCTGCAGGATCCCAACTGCGTGGACGCCTCTGACTATGTTAAGAACCTCCTGACTGCCCGCTCCTTCTGGGAAGCTGGTGAGGAATACCGCGTGGGCTAGAGTGCTCTTACATTGTGAGCTTCATGTTGTTGAAAATTGGAGATGTATGGTTGCAATATCAAAGCCCAACGCGTACCAACCTTGTCACATAGCTCATCCCCGAATCCAAGCTGCCCATCCAGGACAACAGATGGGGTGCACTTCGGGTTTAGGGCTTCGGGACCTCTTCCTTGTAGCCTCGTGGCAGTTGCAATGCAAGAGACGACCTGATCCATCGCTTCCGGAAAGAGAGCACTGGCCGCTGCTGTTCAAAGGGCTTGACGGCCTACATCTGAAGGGCACATGGCGGTATTGTTCTGCATGTTTCAGTCGAGGGTTTCTGCAACAGGTCTGCATGCAGTTCGATTCCCTTAATCAGTAAGCATCGTATGGGTATGCCTGTTTCTGCTCGGACGCCCATGCCCCACGATCTAAAGTAAAGGACCTAGTTACCGGGTGCCAACGTATGGGATGGGCCGCCCTACACAAGCCTCTGAATGACCCCCGCAGAACTGCAGACACCGCATGACACCCCCGCAGAACCTGACGAGCTCTGCATAGCCACGCAGAACCGATAGGGAAGACTACAATTACCTTGTGGAAAAGTTCGCAGAACCGCCCGCTGCCTCGCAGCAGCGCGGCTGCCCCGCAAAGGATATTCAGAAGGCGGACAGACAGCCCACCCCATAAATTGGCACCCCTTAGTTTGCACTGTTTGTGAGGATTGCTCGCAGATGCGATTTCGATTCAACCCTTGCGTTTCAATTTCAAAAATCGTGCAATAGGCCTGAGGGTTTGTGGGAGTGGGCCATGCCAGCTCAGTTTCCATCGAGATGCACATTGTTTTTTGCGTTTGTTCTGGTGTAGCCTATTGTAGCCTCTCTTTCTCATCGTGCGCACATTGCGATGTGCTGTTCTTTGGTATTTCCTTACAAGTTCCTAAGTATGTGATACGATCATTGCAGTGATGTTTTGCAAGTGGGCTATCACGCTTACGAAGCAGAAGAATTGCTTGTTCGGCCGCTGGGCTTCATAGCTTGACATAGCACGGAAATATGCAAAAGGTGCTGATCATGTCTGGGCTTCTTGGCACGATACCGTCATAGGCAAAGCCCTCAATTGTTCAAATGCATGGCTCCGCTCGTTACCAAACCATGGTCCCCACTCGCAGTTACACAGCTTCTCCGGAGCATGATTTCCATTTATTTGGCCAGCGATGTCCGTGGAGTCGTCGGGCACTTTGCATGGACGGGCATGTGCTTGCAACTGCAAAGGCCACATGCTTTCGACATGCGAGCTTTCCTGAAGCGACCGCTCCTTTTTTTGATGCTATAGAGAAGTTAGGGTTGCATGCTCGACCTGTTTCGGCAAACCCCCGCTGCTCGACAGCATTGACATCTTAACAGCCTCTACGCTACTGGTCCAAAGAGCCAGAATGCCACAGTCAGGACCTCCAAGCAACTACTTGTAGCAGCCCCAGACAATCGCCTGAAACATCCTGAAACACAAAATTCCTGAAGACAAGGCCCCAAACCCCACAAGACCCTGGACCCTTGAAGGACATACAGCTATCGTACGATTCAGAGCCATTTATTCTGTCTATATATTTATGTTGTTATGATCAAGCTGTTATACCGCAACCCCGTCTTTTTGAATGCAGCCCCAAGCGTAGGCCCGTGACTCCAGTCTACGCACTCAGGCCTAGTCGGATTGGCACCAACGCCTTTGAGCGTCTCATCGCCAGCGCCTGAAACGTCTCAGTTGCCACGGAGACATCGGAGAATGAGAATTCGAGAGTTTCACACGTCAGAAGAGTATGTGCCGTGCCTCTGCGAACGCATGCGAACGCCGTGCCTCGTTCGCGCGGGGTGAGCAGTGAGCAGTAGTGAAGTGTAGGCTCTCCTCAACTCATTCTCCCGTACGCTGTCCTTGGAGAGAATTCCTTAGTTCGCTTCGGATCGCTTCTCAGATTTGGCTTCTATAGGCAAGGCTGGTTCACGAGCTTAGCCACGATTCCCTCCCGAAGCGAGTGAAGCCCAGCATTGTAAGGGGAGATTTAGGACCTAGATTGTCGCAGGTTTAGGGTCGACCTCGAGGGTTTATTGCTTGTGGGTTAAGGATGCCTCTCTGATCACTAAGGACAGGACGCTCTTCGCTGGCCTTGGGCTGGATTCGGCAAATGTCAGCGCACAGGAGGCGGCACCTACCTTGATGCGATCTCGGTTGATGTGTCCGACAAATTGCAGGTTACCTGGCCAAACCTCAAGCCTTCTCCACTTCAGTTGGGGAATGAATCTGCAGCTGTCCACTTGCTGATTTGAAAGTAATCGGGTAAAAGCGCGTGTGCTCGGGTTTTGCTTCTGTGGAGTCGTACCTGTGCATTGTTGTTTTTCACTGAGAAGCGTAATAAGGAGACGCTCCAAGCGAAAGACGTCACTTGCTGGGTTTGCACATAATGTAGCTCTGCTGGCAGCACCACTTACTCGCTCCGTGGCAAAGGCCTTCGTCCAAGCCTCTAATCTCCTCGCAACCCTACAGCGAGACCCTTCAACATTCAAACCCTGCATCCCTAGGGGCATTTTCAGCCCGATTGTCAACACCTGGACCGTCCCTTTAGTCCCCCCTCGACATTCCCTGGAGCCAGCACTCAGGCCTCTCGGGCATCCCCCAAGTCAAACCGAACCTTCTCGCCCCAACGACGTCCCAAAACGTGGGAAGCATGGCACACGAAACCCAAACACCCAACCCAGACCCTTCGCAGGCAGACAGCTCCTGGAGCCTTCTGCAGGCTCAGATGCCGAATTCTATCCAAATTACCAAGGGCCATTACACGTATTACCGTATTACATGTTTTCTTAAATGTCAGCCCTGGGCTGGGGTTGTAGAGGGTGACGAATACATTCGGGGACCATACCGCGGGCCCTTGCAGGCTCAGGCGGAGCCCGCAATCCATCAAGCACTACGTAAACTCTCTAAATCTACTTGATCTGATGTCCGTTGCGTGCTTTGGGTCACTGGAGGTTCTGGGTCCATTGCGTCCAGGCACCATCCTTTTTGTATGTGTGGACCTTCAGGCTGAGGGCAGACCTCTGAGTCGACATATGCTCGTTTGAGTTCTTTGGAAGTTCAACGCAGAGTTTCACTCACCGGGTTACACCGGTTCCACCCGATCATGTCGCAACCACGGCTGCTGTCGCCTGAAGTGCAGGGGTTGCTGCGGCAAAATGCCCAAGCACGAAGTTACGCGCAGCACCAACCTCAGCATATCCTCGCCAGCAAAATGACCACTTCCTTGGTTGTTGAGCAGCCAGAGAATGCATTCCATTTCCAATATTTTTGGGGCTTCTCTCTACCGCACGGAGGCGTTTTGAAGTCGCCAAGTCACCCGCAATGCTTGCCGCTGATTTTGTGTTTCTTTGGCATCAGAAGCTTTGCATTCATCTACAGTGCCTTGTAGCGTCATGACCCCGAACCTGTGCTGAGGAAGCTCCTGCTCAAGAAGGCTCGTGAGCAAAGCGTGACCAGGCCAGGTGTCATCTGCTATAGTATTGCTCCCGGCGGAAAGCCGAATTGAAGCCTGTTTCGATTCTGCATCACATGTGGTTGTCTTCGGTCCCTATTGAGGCAAGGCACTGGGCTGCGCGACGCGTTGAGAGTTCACATTTGAAATCCTATACGATTCCTAGGGAGGGCCAAGTACATCCAAGTACAAGCACGACAAGCCGTAGAAGCTGATCGTCTCAACGATTTGGGGCATGTGTTTAGCAATGCTGTGGCTTTCGAGGTGTCCATTCAAGGCCCCAGCAGTCTTAAACCTGCTTTGCAGGGTTTGGGCATTGTAGGTTCAGGCTGCGTTTTAAGTTGTCCTGCAAACGTCATTTTCTTAACATGTAAGCTGAACCCTGATCTGCAAACCCTCTACGAGTAGTCAGTTTCCCAGGGAACGTATCAGATTTAAGGTTTGTGGTTCTAGGCGACACGCCACCATGTTCTTCCTGTGTGCTGGGGCCTTCGGCAGTGGCAGAACCTACTAAACCTTCTACCCAACCTCTGAGAAGAAAAGTGCGCCAGGGATCCCGTCTTCATGGAGCGCTTTCAGGCTTCCAGATGCTTCGTATGCTACCCAAAGCACCCGAAAGCCCCAGCGACTTCCTGAGTACGACAGCCCTCCCTTGGACCCTGTGAAGTTTAAGCCCTGAAGCTCTCAAGATTCTGATGTGGGCTCCGCCTTTTTCTGTGGCTTCGCTTTTCGGCATTTCGTTCAGCTTTGAGGGTTTGGTTTCGGAGCCCGTTAGAGCGCTTTATTATGCCGTTGGGGGACAGGACATACATCATGACTTGTGAGCAAGCATTTTGACCAACTGTTGGTTTCACTTAAGAGGCCTGAACCCAAGACGGTGAACCGGATGCCCGAGCAACCTTCCAGCAGTGGAGCCGTCAAAGGCTCAATCTTGAGAGATATTTTACATTATGGGGTTACATAGGGCTGTGATTTGCGATGGGAGCTGTCAAATTGGGCCTTGCCTAGGCCTAGCCATGGGCTCGACCGGACCTGATCTTCGTTCTCAATCAACCCTAAGCACTACAAGCCCCTCCCTGTTCCACTAAACGCTTTTTGAATCCTCTGAACAAACACACTGAACAAACACTAGGTGCCTCTCATGCCAGGCCCTCTTGGAGCTGTGGCCCCATAGCGAGCGGGAGCGCCTGACAGGACCTTGGGAAGCGAAGCGGTTTCAGGGGCTTTAGGTGTGATCAATGGTGAAGGAATGTGAGGTAGTGTAAAGTAGTGTGGTTATTGCGAGTAGGGTTCTATACTTGGGGCATTAAATGTTTGAAGGGCTTCAGGATAGTTGATCTGGGTATAGTATGGTGAAAATGCAGCGCGTCGACCGGTAGTACGTTTCCAGTCAGTAGGGTACGAACCCGGCAACTCCAAGTAGCTTCTTGAAGCACCGTGACCCGAACCAGCTCGGTCGCGCTAGGGTGTAGGGAGTCCCTCGAGCAGCCTCTGCGGTCCCCGCAAGTCCCTACGCAAGTTTCTGGGGCCCAGCGCGGGAGATTCCGGTGTCGTGAACGCAAATGGGGGCGGGGGGGGAAGGGGGGGGGCTGGGGGCGAAGTGGTAACTGTGGTCACAGTGGTCACTCCTTCCGGCCCATGGCAGCGCCCCTGCGTGATTCTTGGTTTGCCTATTGGCCCTCCTCTCTCAGGTCCGACACACTGCTGGGAGGGGCGCCATCAGGTCGAGAAGCTCGACTGAATCTCTCTGTGCTAAACTCATCTCTAAACTGAGCCCCTACGGGTCTCAAGGGGTTGACGGTTGGGAGCCACAAGCAGCCCAATACACTGAGATGGGTTCGACAAGGTCTTTATCGAAGGTGCCTATGGCACAAATGCAGTGCGATCCCAACCTCAACACTTTTGAAAGGCTGATTCGTGTTGGGAGTGTCGCAGCTCCTAGCCCAGGCCTCCGCAATGTCGGTCTCGACCACTACCATTGCAGGTCGCTTTGGCATGCTTGGGGTCTGCACTGGTCCCGGCTTCAGCCGCACTTGTGTGTGGTGCGGTGTCCACATTCAAGGCGGTTAGCGTGGCGGGCCGCAATGCCGATTGTACGACAAATTAGACTCCGACAGGCTTCGGACGGTTTGCAGGTCGTAAAACTTTTGGCTTATTTTGGCTTCATGCAGCCGCAGAATCGTATTTCCACGTATGTTGGCCTGCTGTAAAACTTTCACAGCTTCTCCTGGTACTTTTTCGGATTCAAGGAAAACTCCAAACCCAGCGCTTCAACCCAACCAGCATCGCCATCAACTAGCCCAGCCCCTCGAGCCAAGCCCCTGAAGCCTAAACCCACTGTACCCGATACGCTTTGAACCCCAAACTGGCCCTAAGTCCAAGAAGAAGCAAAGAAGGCCCTTGTGCGCCCTGGAAGGTGGCGAGGTCCTGGGCGACCAAAGCCCGGTCAGGCTCCCAGGTTTACTGCAGGGAGAGGAATTTCGGGTGTAGAGATCTTTGAAGACTTGTCATAGACTGCCACGGACATGCAGCTAAGGAACGGTAGCTTAAAACCCTTGAACACGGAAATTCTTGGCCTTTTTATGTGGGGAGAGAGCCTCTGCGAACTGAGGCTCCACGCAGCTACCCGAACCCAGAAGGTGGGGGAATCCGCAAACGCAAGGATTTATTTCGCCACATACGGAGCACCCCGGCTCCTGTGAAGGCAGCAGACCTCGACCCCAGAAATCCGAGAGCCGCCTGAATCCCAACCCAAACTCTTCCCAAACTCTTCTGGTGTATTCAGGGTGTCAGCGTGTGGGTTCCACATTTTGGGCCTGGTCGCATGGTGGCAGGTTCCCACTACAAACCGTGCACAGTCCTTCATGGTCCTCGCAGGCCTGTCGACGCCACCCAGGCCCACATGGGGCGGCACTCCAGCAACTTGGCTTGGTCAGAGGCCTCGTTGAATGGAAACTTTCGAAGATCGTGCGTATGGACTGGTCTCTATACATTTAAAATTATCGCAAAGTAAAATAAAGTCCCGTATACTCGGGACCCACATTTTCAACCTTGGATGGAGAGCCTCATCCCACAACCTCATTCACCGCAATTGCAAACATCTCCTGACCCTCAATGGCGTTCCTTGAGAGAAATCCGTCAATGCGCAATCCACAACTTCACCGCCTTTTGAACTGTTTTTACTGCTGCCAGCCGCAACTCTCTTAAGATTGCTCCTCTGAAACTTTCCAAGCTCCCGGATGGAAGTTGCGCTTGAAGGAACGTTTTGAGAGAAGGCGTGTGGCACGCTTTTTTGTCGTTTTTTGTTGGTAGATGTCTGCGAGCCTGAGGATTGGGGCGGGCCGTTTTCCGAGTCGCTGGCAGCTCAGCCTGCTCTTGAGTGCAGTCCAAACCCCTGTGTCCACTGTGGCTGTTGCGATCGCACCGACTCACGAAACTTCGTGGCCCCTCCCCGGGTCGGCCAAAGCCCCCGTGCAATCTACACCCTCGGAGGTTTTCAAGGTTCGGGTTCGGCGGTGTCTGTTGCCGTGCAACTCAAAGAATCCTGAGATCCGGCTAAGGCCAGCGTTACCTTCGCAGCGACCGAGACGTGAGGTGCCGGGTTGGCATGACTCTTCTGCAGGAACGACTGGAGAAGGAGTTCACATCTTTCAGAGAACCTTTCCAGTGCTTTTCTTTTCTTTTTGCACGCCCTGCTTTCTGACAAGGTGATGCCTCAGTCGCTAGACCAAGCGTATGGTCTACAGGACAGCTGCGACCTCGGGCAGCCTAAGTTCCTAAAAGACAGCACCTGCATCCTTAAGGCCTGAAGGCATCTGAAGCTCATGAGGGCCCACGGAGTGTTTTTCATGGCGCTGAAGTGTGATACCGGTAGCCAGCTAGCAATCTCGAAGCCGCCTGTGCGTGGAAGAAAGCGGGACGAAGCATCCGAATTTGAACCCGACCGTCCTGAGGTGCGGTGACTGTTCAGATCCGTGGCTCTGCGAATCAGGCGCCTGAAGCATAATCAGATATGGGCTTATAGGTTCAATTAAGTTCATGAATGCAGGGATCCAGGTCCGCACAAACAAAGCTCATGGAGTCTCACGCCTTGCAAAAGGAAGCCGCTTTCAACAATCGACACCCCACCCCCCCCCCCCACCCCTTCCCGCCAGGGAACTCAGAACGCATATTTGAGGGTTCAAGCCGTTCGGTGTGTGTTGTGCGCGTGTGTGAGCGAGACAGAGTGTGCGTTTGTATTGCGGGCGTTTTCCAGGTAGAAGCGCCTCCTTTAGAAATGTTATGGATGCACACTGTCAGCCTGAGGCTCTTGAGTCAGCTATCTGCATAGACCTGCCTTAAGACATCGGACCAAGTCTATGCATGACTCTGGCCTGAGGGTTCGGGTGGGTGGGTGTTTTCGAGCCGTGGCTACTGAGCTACTGAGCTACTGAGCATGTCAAGGGCCCAATCCCTGTTGGCCGATGGCCTGGGTTCGTGTCCATGCAAGCGGCTGCATTCGCTGGACCCAGACGAGCCCTGCTGCGCAACCAGGATGGAAATCACGTGCCCGGTCTAAGCGGCGTAGATTAGGGGAGCCACTGAGCCGCCCACGCAAGCCCTCAGACCCGAAACCAACCACGCCACACAGGAGGCGCTGAAGCTTTTCACGCAAGTACCAGCGAGGCCTCCTTGGTACAAAGAAGGCTGGTGCCTTTTCCGGAGTGAAGACGCTGCTGAGGGTGCCAGGACGCTAGGCTTGTCTAGAAAGAAAGGGCTTCAGATCCCTAATTCTACCTTCATGAACTGAAAGCGTCGCAAAGCTCAAATCCACCAATCTGAGCCTTTCAAACCTTTAGCTTCCCCTTACATCTGCAGCTTTCTGAGCCCTACTGAGCCCGAACCCTTGCCAGTTGGGATTAAACCCGAGGAACACAAAGGAAGTGAGTCTTTTTCGGAGCTTGTTTTAGGTTTGACTTGAGGGAGCTCAAGGGTCAAGACGAATCCTGATAACCTCCGACGAAGAATCCTCGGGCGTATGTCGAATCAGTTCTAGGCAACCCGAATAAGAGGAACCTCGTCAACCGAGGGTGGCAGCTTTCGATTTCGACAAGACGCTGCATCATGGAGGCATGGCCTGGAGACTCAGCTCGGCCCATATCCCTGGACGACTGCGCCAGCTGCACGAGGAAGGCTACAGGATCCTCACCTGTAGGGAGCTGGTGTCTCTAGGATTCGGTCGAACTTACATGCGGCTGCAGGTGTACTTCTACAAGGAATGCCTGTGTTCTTCGTTGTGTATTCAATGAGACTGGACCGCCGAGGATCGTGATCTTCTCGAACCAACATGGACCTGGGCGCCAGCGCACGAGGGAAGCGATGCAGGCTGAAGTCCGTGACATAACTGCACGATTTGACGACCCTTGCTGCGGTGAGCACTCTTTGCAGTGTTTTTGCTGAGCCCCTATGAACCGAAAGCCTTCCCCAGCCATATATATATATATATGGTCACCCCCCCCCCCCTCGACAGACCCCGGAAGTATATTCCGGTCTGTTCAGGAAGGGGGCGGGAGGAAAAGCACCACTCCAGAATTCCTCGAGTTTCCAAAAATCCAAAAAATCCAACCCAGGGTTCCGCTTTTTGGAAACTCGAGCGGGAGCCTCAAAATCCTAAGACCGAGCAAATTCCTCGAGTTTCCAAAAATCCAAAAACCCAAAATATCCAACCCAGGGTTCCGCTTTTTGGAAACTCGAGCGGGAGCCTCAAAATCCTAAGACCGAGCAAATTCCTCGAGTTTCCAAAATTCCAAAAATCCAAAAAAACCCACCCCAAGGCTTGGATTTTTGGAAGCTCGAGCGGGAGCCTCAAAATCCAAAAATCGAGCAAATTCCTCGAGTTTCCAAAATCCCCAACCTTGGGGTGGATTTTTTCGGATTTTTGGAATTTTGGAAACTCGAGGAATTTGCTTGATTTTTGGATTTTGAGGAAATTCCTCGAGTTTCCAAAATTCCAAAAATCCAAAAAAACCCACCCCAAGGTTTGGATTTTTGGAAACTCGAGCGGGAGCCTCAAAATCCAAAAACCGAGCAAATTCCTCGAGTTTCCAAAATTCCCAACCTTGGGGTGGATTTTTTTGGAATTTTGGAAACTCGAGGAATTTGCTCGATTTTTGGATTTTGAGGAAATTCCTCGAGTTTCCAAAATTCCAAAATTCCAAAAACTCCAACCCAAGTTTCGGATTTTTGGAAACTCGAGCGGGAGCCTCAAAATCAAAAAACCGAGCAAATTCCTCGAGTTTCCAAAATCCCAAACCTTGGGGTGGATTTTTTTGGATTTTTGGAATTTTGGAAACTCGAGGAATTTGCTCGATTTTTGGATTTTGAGGAAATTCCTCGAGTTTCCAAAATTCCAAAATTCCAAAAACTCCAACCCAAGTTTCGGATTTTTGGAAACTCGAGCGGGAGCCTCAAAATCAAAAAAATCGAGCAAATTCCTCGAGTTTCCAAAATTCCAAACCTTGGGGTGGGTTTTTTTGGATTTTTGGAATTTTGGAAACTCGAGGAATTTGCTCGATTTTTTGATTTTGAGGCTCCCGCTCGAGTTTCCAAAAATCCAAACCTTTGGGGTGGATGTTTGGGTGTTTGGGTTTTTGGATTTTTAGAAACTGGATTTTTGATAAGAGTTTTTCAGGGGTTCTTATATGATTCCTTATTATGTTTTAGGCTGCCTATTAAATTTAATAATACTCCTGTTCACTTTAACGGGAGTCCTTATTTAATTAATAAGACTCCTAATCATTTTACTAGCATTCTAAGTGATCTTCAATGGCAATGGGATTCCTGTATTTGTTTAATGGGGTTCGTATTAGATTTTAAAGGATGCCTGTTAAAGGACTTTATTGGGTTTAATATTGATTCCTATTCATTTTAATCAAATGCCAAATAATTGGAATACGATTCTGAGTAATTGTAATAGCGTTCTTCTTCCTAGTTAGTTTTAATAAAAGTCTTAGAATTTTAATAAGCTTCATAACAAATTTTATACATATTCCTTTTAATTTCAATAGGCTTCTTATTCATTTTCATAAGATGTCTTACAATCTCTAATTGGGTTCCTTTTGCTTTGACAAGCTTCCTATTCATTTAAAAAGGCTTCTGATTAATTGGAATAGGCTTCGTATTCATTTTAACAGGGTTTCTCATTCATGTTGACAGGATTCCTAATAATGTTCATAGGATTCCTACTAGATTCCACAGTGCTCCGATTATGTTTTTAAATCCTGTTCCCTATTCATTTCATTTGGACTCGAAGTAATGTTATTGTAACTCTCATTTGTTTTATTAGCAATCCTGTTGTTTAAAATGTTTTTTTAAATAGGGTTTATTATAATTCTAACAGTACGACTCTTATTGTTTTAAGTTTTGAAGGGTCCACATTACTTTTTTTATAGAATTTTATTGGCTCCTCTTAATCCTTTAATAGGATTCATCTTCATGTTACACGGATTCCTGTTACTCTTAAAAAGAATTCATAGATTCTTTTGTAGGGTTCCTATTAATTTTACTAGCATTCCTATGAATTCAAAAGGGTTCCTATTCATTTGAATGGCCTTCCTATGGTTCCTCTGAATTTAGGACGCCAAGAAATTTTAATAGGAGCTTCTACGTATTTCAACCAGGTTCTTATTAATTGTACTAGGATTCTTACTAAGTTTTCAAAAAAGACTCGTCTTAATTTCAATAGGGTTCTCATTCATTTTAATGGGGTTCCTATTGATTTAAATAGGATTCCTATTGAACTCATACGAAGCCTATGAATCCTAATAAACTTAATAGGAACCCAAGTAAAACTAAGAGCAATCTTATTAAAATTAATAACAATCCACGATGTCGAGCAAATTGTTCAGGTCCTTACAGCATGCGTCCTTCTCACATCTGTCTGCATCTTTCATTGCGAACACAAAGCCGTACTAATCGAAAAAAATATGCTCTATTGTGTGTTAACGTGTCTGGCTACTGTGTGCAGCTATGCCGTCCGTCGCGCCCTTAGCCCTTTTTTTGCTTCCGGGGTCTGTCGAGGGGGGGGGGGGGGTGAGCATATATATATATATACACATACATAAACATATACATATACATGTACATATACATATACATATACATATATGTATATACCGTACCCACAAATGGCTGCATCCTACCAAATCTCAAGAATAGACCCGCGTATATTTACATATCTTTATTTATATACACACACAAGAAAGCAAGTACTCGTTTCAGGACTTCGCCTCTTTCTGCCGGGTGCCGCTGCAGATCTTCGTGGCTGCCGCGCGAGGGGACGTCGGTGACGCCTTCCGGAAACCAAACATCGGCATCTGGGGCAGCCTTGAGTGGGCATGTGTTTAGTTAAGTTGAGGGTAGCGACTTCAGACGGGTTTGTATGAAGCTGTACAGATAAGAGCCTTCAGTTCGCATAGCTTGCACAGTACAGTGCTCTACAAGTCTTGTTTTGAGCGTTGAAGGTGTTCGCGACCACGGAAACACACTTGCAGTTCCCAACCTGGAAACTCTCTCTCTCTCTCTCTTTCTCGCTCTCCCTCTCCCCCTCTCCCTCTCCCTTACCCCCTCCCCTTCTCCCTCCCCCTCTCCCCCTCCCTCTCCCTCACTCTTTCTTGTTCTTTCCAGGAATGTGGGAGCTGCTCTGCTCTTCACGCTGTAGCAGAGGAACACTACCTGATCCGGCACCTTGGTCCACACGCGCTCTGTCAGTGTCGCTTCAGGGTGGCCCTGTGCACCTGTGGGGCTCCGAGTCTTCCAGAAGTACCGATGTAAACGAAATCCTCCAATGGCGGCCGAGGCTCTGAGTTTCTACGTCGGGAATTCTGCCGGTCGAAAGACCGACGGAAACGACGTGGATAGGCAGTTTGCTCAGCGCCTGGGCCTGAAGTTCTACACCGAGGCTTTCCTGACCAGCAGAGGGGCTTAGGAGATTCTTAGGAGCTTAGGACCTGACGAGGCAAGCGCCATATACGAGACGAAGGGGAGCCGCGACATTCTTAAAAAGGTGCGCGTTGAGGGTCGGCAAGTTGGACATTTCATTCAGAAGAATCAGAATGATTGCATGCCATCTGCTGGTATTCATGATCCCTGTCCATGGTGCTGCCTTGAAGCCCGATCGTTTCACGAGAAGAGCCTCTCTTTGGCTGCCCGCTGCAGAAATTTTGAAAACAAACCGTAGTTCCTGCAGCCATGCAAAGATGTGATCTACTCGACATGGGGTTGAGTGGCGGACTATGGCACTCTATAGGGTTGTTGAAAGAGGCGAAATGCGCGCTGAAGTTCATGTGTTTGTGACTTAGTGACAATGATTTATTTAACCTTGTCAGGACCTGAAGGGAAAGCTAGCTGTAAGTTCAGGTAGTTTATCATCAAGTTGAAGAATCGAGTTATATGCTTCAATCCCCAGCAAAGCTGCCTACATACATCTCACTTGCAACCTTCGGACCTTCCAGCTTCTTAAGCCTGAAACCTTCACTAAGCCTGCATCCTGAGCTAGGGCTTGAAACTAGTGGTGAATATATACCCTTTGTTGTGCGTTTCCCCCCGAGTACCTCTGTTACAAGCTTGTGTCGCGCCTGAGGTGCCCAGACAGTAGCTTCAAACTCATGGCGAGCCCCCCAAGCCTTAAACCATCAGCAAACTGAAGAAAAGTACAAACACAAAACAAGAGATGCTAGTTACTTTCTGGGAATGCCAAGCTGGCAGGCCGCAGCTATGGGCGACAGTACGGCCACCGTCACCTCGAAGAGTCAGGCCATGTAGGTTATAGACTCTTTGCCTCCCCGTCCCGCGTGTGCTCACACTGAATCCGAAACCTGCGACTATTTAGACCTATCATGTTCAGATGCTTCTCTGAGGCTTCTGAGAGATTCAGAGTGTCAAGCGGAGGAAAGTTATGGCCGCTCAGGGTTTAAGGTGTAGGGTCCTGAAAGATGAGCCCAAAACACTGGCCCTAACGACATCCCAAAAGCATCCCTTCAAGCCATTCAAGCCCAATTAATTCCTGCTCAACCAGGCCAAGGCTTACAGCTCCCTGGATGCCTGGCGCGGGCCCAACCGAGTCGTGAGCCCAGCCTACCCAAAGCCTGCCCTAATGCAGACATGTTACGATTCTGCTGGGGTTGGTCTTCGGGGTGCTTTGGGCTTGATGGGCCCGAGCTTTAATTGTAAACGCTTGCGCGCGCCGCCTCGGCAGCCGGGCCCCAGGACAGGAAAGGAGGAAAGAGGGTTTCGGGAGGAAGGGCAGAGCGGGTTGGGGGGGGGGGGGGGGGTGAGGGGGGGGGGGTGAGGGGGGGGGGGGTGGGGGGGGGGGGTGGGGGGGGGGGGGGGGTGGGGGGGGGGTGGGGGGGGGGTGGGGAGGGGGGGGGGGGGGGAGGGGGGGGGTGGGGGTTGGGGGGGCACTCCCCCTGTAGGAGCCACCGACAAGCGGGACCCTCCACGGCATCGGTTTGCAGCTCCTCCAAGGGATTGGGGGGGGTCCCACAGGGCGGGGGGGGGGGGGGGGGGTTGCGTCAAAAAATTTGAAGGGTTGGGTTAGGGGGAAGGAGGCCCGATCCGGGTCTGCTTGTTCCAGACGCTTCTCGGCAGGAAGCCGAGGCGAATTAGTTATCGCAAAGTGACGCCTTTGCAGATCCTTTCGCAGTGCCTACCCACAGATCCACGCACAGATGGCAAGCGGCAACTGATCTCCGAGCACATCCTAAACTGTCGAAACTTCCAGCCGAAGAGACCTGATACCTGCAGTGTTGAATCGTACGGTGCGAATTGCCACTTCAGGGATCGGCTCTTGCGAGGCTTGCGTCTGAGCAGCCTGGGAAGCCTTGGGAGCCTTGGGAAGTGCCTGGTGAAAGCCTGACAGACTTCAGGACGCACTCGTAGTTAAGGAAAGATAAGCTATAGAGCAGCTGGAGAAGCCATAATGCAACAGTCAAAAATCTTGAGCCTTGAGCTCTCGACCGCAAGCCTGGAAACCTGACTCTGAAGCACAAGGAAAGCAAGAATTGAAAACACGGAGAACATGCGATAAACGGTAAGCGGTAAGCGGTCCAACGCTCAAAGTCGGCACGCCTAGGCGGACTTTGCCTCGCAGCTGGGGTCTGAGCCGCGCTCTTCGGAGCTTAAATTGAAGACTTGAAGTGTTCTCCTTTCCAGTCTTTAACATTCGAATGTGCGCCCGGTTTCGCCTGAGCTACTAAGCTTACTAAACTGCTAGAGGCCTTCGACAGCCCCAATCCCCAGTTGCTGGTGTGATGTGAAGAGATACGACTTGCTTTTTTGTTTTGGCACACAGGGGCTTGAGGATGTTTCGTTTAAGTTCGCTTGCGAGATCCCAAGAGAAAGGATCTGCCAAGCCTTAATGCACAGGTTGATCAGCGTATCGAACATGCAATTCCTGACGAAAATAGTGTAAGCTGCGCCGCCCTCAGAGGTTGGGATTGGTTGTTGGTAGCTTGAGATCCCATGCCGGAACTAGAAGCATCGTTCGCGGAAAACAGTAGTGCACGCAATGAACTTTTTAAACCGCTTGGATTCCTCAAGCAGGATGCGACGCGCTCGTTCGCTACCGGCCCCTGCCCTAGGCTGGTGGGAGAAGGGTGGAAGACGTGAAGTTCTGACAGGCTACCCTGGTCTATTAAGTCTACGCCTCCTCCCCCTGAAGGTCGTGCGGGCAGGTTACAGGCCGAGCGTCAAAACAGTAGAAGGCAGCCGGAGAAACACTTGTTAGAAAGGTTGTCCAGTTCTCCACCCGTTAAACCTTAGTTTGTAGATGTTGCTGAGCCATGCAAGCCAACAACGATCGACCCTGAGCCTGAACCACCCAACCCACAAACCCAACAGAGCAAAGACATGTCCTTCCTCCTGCCAGCTTCTACGGGTCCGGCCCCAGTTCCCGCAAGTCGCTCTGCTTGGGGTCCACACTTGGTGCCGGTCCCGGCGGAAGCTTTGTGGCTGAAAATAGAAGTTGCAGGCTTCGGGGGGGGTGGGGGGAGCGGGTGAAAGCTTAGCAGTTCATCTGCGTTCAGGTTCAATGGCTGGTCCGGCTGGTTTCTGCAGTGCACGACCGAGGGTAAGTGCAGCCGTTTGCACCACAATGAGGACCATGGTGGTGGTGGTGATGATGAGGATGAGGAGCATACCGACGAGAACCACGACGACGAAGACGAGATGATGATGACGATGACGATGTCGATGTCGATGATGTCGGTGGTGATGATGATGATGACGATGATGACGATGATGATGTCACCGGTCGGCGCTCACGCTCTGAGGTTGTGCCTCTTGAAGTCGGCAGGATCGTAGATCTGGGAGGATCAGAGGGGCAGCCTCAAAAAGCCTGAAAAACCCTTTGAAATGGAGGAGACGGGATTGGACAAGTTGGGGAAGGAAGCCTGGTGGGCTGGACACCTTGAAGCACGTTGGATGCAAGCACATCATATCCTCGAACGCATCAGGCGACATACAGCAACGCCATCTTGGCAACAATATCGCGGCAATCTTGAGCCCTCTTCATCGGCTACTAGGTGGAACTGTTATGAACTACTAGATTCCGAAGGTGCTCGACTTCGGACCGAGTGGAAGCTCGGAGGCTCGCAGAATACCATGGATTTTTTGCTTTTAGGTTTTAAAGGGGAGGTGAGACCGGAGATTCCCGTGCCATCGCCAGCTTTCTGTCGGAGATGACCAATTCAAAGAGAGTAGCAACCCACAACCCCGAACACGTAAGGTTCAGAGCTCGCGGTTTTGGATTTACATCTTCTCCGTCATGAATGAAAAGCCCTAAACTCCAAAGACCAAAACCCACAGAAACCACACATACAATATTACTCGTATATACATATATATATATATATATATATATGTGTGTGTGTGTGTGTGTATATCCCCCCATATAACTATCTATATATATACATATATAATGATATATATCTATATATGTATGTATCCTTCGAAGGAACTCGAAGCCCGCGTGGCAGTGCCAGGATGACCGTGCGCAGACGGCCCGCGCAGCCGCGGCCCGCGCAGCTTTGCCAAAGCCCTCGAGAGCCCGGGAGCGGGAGGACATTCCTGCTCAGGTGGGGTCTCCTGATCCCTACAGTCACAATGGTAATCCCGTTTCATCCCTTCACGTCGTTCCGCGTCCAATGCACCTCTCCATTTGGTGTTCTCGGTTCCGGGTCTTGAAACGGCTTCGGGTTTTGCTGAGGTTTCTCAATTTGGGGTCGAGGCGTCGGGTGACAGAGGTTAGGGATTGAACTATGCTCGGCTCCACGCTTGTGGTAATGTTGGTTCTTGTTATGTGGGGCTCTTAGGGGTCTTGGGCTCGATTAGGGGTTTTGGCCGTTCTCTCGGGTGAAACTCGTACCCGCATGCGAAGGCTGAGCCTTCGGTGTCTATAGGGCTGCAACTTTAGAGTTCAAGGCTAGTTTCAGGTCTTTTTTCTAGAGCAGCCGACTGAAGTTCAGGGAATGTCTCCTTTAAGCCGAAAGCATCTGCAGCAACGTTGAAGGTCGACGGATTCGTTGCTTATGGAAGCCTGGCTCCTGACGTGCAATTCTGCGCCCGCACCTGAGCGCCCTAATTCCAACACTTCATGGCGGAGCTAGTAGGGGAAGCACCCATTCAAAAGTGCCAGGAGGTTGCAGTCAGTACAGCCCAAGAGTAGAAAGTTGGGATCTTACATCTGCTGTGTGCGACTTCGGTTTGCGTGGCTTGGACAGTATCTGCTGAATGGCTTTGATCCTTCCTCAACCGATTGCGCGGTTGCAAAGCCATGATATAATGACAGTAGGCTCCCCTAGTCCGTCATGATGGTCCGGGCTCCGGGCGCGAACAGGGCTCACACAGTCGGTGCACAAGATATCAATGTTGCGGCGGTTGAGTTTGTTCCCATGTGTACCCGTCTCGCTCAGCTGGACCCCTCCAGGA